GATGATAATCATAAGCAAATCAACAATGTGCCTAACGAAGAGAGTTGCTCAATGCAAGCCTCGCTTACGCGTGCACTCGTTTCACCCGCCACGGTTATGAATGTTCGCGGCAGTGGAGTGACAACGAGCTGTAAATTATTATCGCGTTATTGATCGATGCCGGGAATGCGCAGCCCCCGCCTGCCCTTTGAGCTGAGCGCCGCAGAGTGGAGGTCTCCACTCCCTTTGCACAACTCCGGTCAAGGGACAATCGCCAGGTCACAGGCGACAATTTGACTCGGCCCGTTGGGCACCACGCAGGGGAGCGGTGGCGCAGCGGTTAGCGGACTGAGATTTGAACCCGCCTGTCACCGCGAGTTCTCGATTCCCGGTCACATCAGTGGTGTGTGATAACTGAACTTGGTCAGGGACTACCCCATTTACCAACCGGCGTGGTGAAGTATGGTCAAACACCCCCCCCTTCTCCGCGACATGACCGGCACGGCATGAGATGGCCTTCATTGAGAAATGGATAGCAAAGGGTTGTAAAAGAACGATGGAACGCCGCGTGTGATTCTTCACCCAAGCAAAGCTCATACGACACGCTCTTTGTTTCAACCACAGGCCTTAACCCTTATAAAAAAAACTTTAGTCTCAATGAGACTTCATTATTTGGTGGTACTGCGTCCGTAGGTAGTGCACAAGCACAAAGAACACAACAGGCTCAACACATTCATCGATAACACGGTGGTATTAAAAAAAAAGATAAAGTGTGTAATAGGGCAACGTTTCGGGCAGTGGAACTTCTTTACAGTGCATAAAAGGGGGCAAGAGGTGAGAATCGTTATTGATCCTGGAGAAATCCGATGAACGATGAAGCTCGTTTTCACAAATGTCCAGCAGACATTTGTTCAATTGGCATTTACCGGATTGTAAATAAATCACCTTCTAGTTATCAAGAAGCCACAAAGTGGACTCTCACTCAGTGGAGCCTGGGGGTGAGAGCACTCCCATGGCACGTATACAGATTTGTGCCAGCGCTGGAAATTCCACATTCACATGGCACGGTAGTGATGATTATACGCAAAGGACAACCAACAACCGACGTTGACTTCTCCACGAGGTAGAAGTCATTTTTTTTATCAACCGCAGGGAAACTACGTGGGGCCCGAGTCCATCCGTGACTAGGCCTCGGCAAGGTAAGGTAATTTACCCTTTTTACCGGGTATAAGGGTAAAGGTGTCGACATGCCGAAAAGTAAGGTAGAGGGTCGGGTAAAGGCAACGTGGAAGAATTACGCGGGAGGGTAAAGCTAGCGCGAAGTATTACCCGGTAAATACCTTGTTTACCGCTCGCTACAAGCTCCGTAGTGCAGTCCGTGGCCTCCATTTAAAATAGGAATCATCGAGAGTATTCTATATGAATAAAGCGCTCTACCTAGCATTTACCTGTTACAAACCTTCTTCGTGTGTAGTAGTACCCCAGTAATTACCCTGTAATCGGGTCATTTGTATGGGGTAAGGTAAAAGGTAGGATAAAGGTAGGCTCGTTGTTTTTTACCTTTTACTTTACCTTGCTAAAGGGTAAAAGGTAGGGTAGAGTGATTTTGATTTAAAGCTTTCATGACTGTAGGGATACATATTCTTGGTTTTTTCGGTAAAGTCAGGTATTTTTATTATTTTATTATTTCCCTTCTACGTGACTTTACCGAAAGAACCAAGAATATGGTAAAGTGATTGTATAGTGGTAAGGTAAAGGTAGGCTCGTTGTTTTTACCTTTTACCTTACCTTGCCGAGGCCTAGCGGTGACCGGGATTCGAACTCTCAAGCTCATAGCGGCACGTCACCCCGGGGGGGGGGGGGGTATCGCTCGCTCCTGGGAGGGCGGCGTTGCACTCTCCACCACCGTCACCGCACGGGGGGTTCCGGTGTTAAGATGCCGATGGGACAGCCAAATTCACACCCCCCCCCCCTCCCCCGCCAGCACCCCAAAATAGGGCCTCGCCGAAAGCATCGCTCACGTAAATAGTAGCGCGGGAGGATTTTGATATCTCACGTCGGCTCCAACTGGAGGTTCAAAAAGTTGTCCGTGCTTTCGGCTCCGCGCGAAGGCGATTCCGACGACGGGGAACCGCACCGCGGTCATTAGGAACGCGGGGTCATCGCGGCGACCCACGTGTCACGCAGACGGACGGCGAGAGCCGATGGGATACGAAGCTTTCGAGCTTCTTTTGGAAGGGGTGGGGGGGGGGGGGGAACCCCACATACTAAAACCAAACTTTTTTTTTTTTACCAGGTAAGACCCACTAAGCTTTCTTAGATCTTTTACAAAAGCGACCTGGCCACAAATGATCACTCAACGAAGTAGCTTATCAGGTGGAAATGTATAGCAGCCAAATACTCTAAACGCGTGATGCTGATTCTAAATGTGGTGGAAAAAAACGGAGGACCCGGAGAAAAATCCACGCGACCACGGGGAGAGAGAGAGAGACACGCAAACTCGAAATAGACAACAGCAGGCGTCAGGGTGGGGATCAAACCCACGACCTCCTGCATACTAGGCGAGGGAGTTAACATCTCGACATCGGCGTCCGTTCTCAGTGCTTGGGCGCTCGGGAGGTGTGGAGAGACGTCGCTCGGCACGGCGACGCGTTCACGTTCACACGCTCGGCGGGCGGTTTCACCACCTGGACACTATTCGTTACTTGACGCCTCGTCTAATGCATAGATGAAATGTGTTTTTAGCTTTAGCTGGCCTAACCGGGCGGGGTGGTGGAAGAGGGTCGGCTACCCGGACGGGTAATTGGGGTAGCACACAGAGTTCAGCTGCCAAGGGAGAGGCCTTGAAGCCAGTTGATGGGAGACTGCGAAGAGCAGACCTTGAAGGACAGGTGGCAAACTTACGACAGCTACAGGATCAAGCGCAGGGAAGGGATGGCGAGGTTCGGTGGCATCAAGGGAATTGGCAATGATGAACTATTGACCTTGACCTTAATCCATTGTTGTATTGAGGCTCCCGTACGCCACGTTAATATTGGGGGTTGGTTCACCGTAGTTTGACCACGCTGGTCTTGGCGGGTTGGTAGAAGTTGGATGGAGGAGGGAAACTCAATACCGGTGCATAGATCACGCGACCTTAACTGGATGCGGTGCTCGATTTCACCCAGTTCTGCCTTGGTTGGCGGCCACTGCTTGCGAAAGGGCCTCTACTCGAAAGAGCTCAATTAGAGCCCCCTCCAGACGCTGTCGGAAAAAAAAACATGAGAATACCCACAGTTTATCCCACGACATGCAACCTGCAGACGGGCTAACCGTGTTGAACCCACGTACTATTCAGCGGGTTGCTGGACGGAAAGCAGGGGGGGATTGAAGGCAGATCGATGCCTGTGGTTTCAAACTGCCGCGCCAGGAGATCGAGTCGAAGCGTCGATCTCTGGACATTGTGGATGAGTCATCCACCAACCTGCGTCGTCACCACAGGAAGAGTTATATTCATCTATGTGAAGAAAGGTGGGGAGGAGGCCGGGGTGGCGATGTATATATAAACTAAACAATCCATGATGACAACGAGAGCAAACAGGAATCATCTGACGAAAATTCACCGTAGATTGGACAATGTGGCAGTGGATGACGACGCGAGGGTAAATGAGATGCGTTTATAATGGGTACGGCGTTGCGTAATGCGAAGCAACAAAAGGCGAGATGGTGATGGAGGGTTGTTTTTTGTCTCTCTCTCTCTTCCGTTGTGATGAGCGGTTGTGTGTGTTTTTTTTGTTCTCGTGGTTTTTCTGCTCGGATGTCAATGAATGTTCATGAACGTCCGTGGCATGAATGGACGAGATGCAGGGACAGCGCGCGCGTGTGCGCGTGTGTGTGCGCGTGTCCAACTTGGCGTAACTTGTCAACAAAACCACGGATCGGCTGCGTTACGAGCTGCTGTGTCCTGCTACTGGGTGATGCGCGCGCGTGAACGCGTGGGGTGTGTGTGTGTGTCTCGTTTTGTAGATGACAAAATGAGAACACCATTCATCTCTATGCATCCATTATCCCAGGATCCGGTATCTCCGCTACTGTGAAAGTCATCGACTCGCGAGGGCTGGCATTCACCTGTTTCGCACGTGTACATTTACACAGCGCTGTTGTTGTCACTCTTGTTTGACCATACTTCACCGCGCTGGTTGGTGTCGGTTGGTGAAGGCAACATATGGCAGCAGCGTGGCAAAATCCATTGTTGTTCCGTACTTCTATGCTCCCGTGTCTATGTCTGTGTTCACAGCCTTTACCAAACTGTACTGAGCAGCAGGCCCGTCCATCCATAGGGGGGTGCGAGGCCTGGGGCAAATCCCACAGTGTGCCCCCCCCCCTTCCCCCGACGCCTTTAAACTAAACCGGGACTGTTAATCTCACACCGTGACGTCTAAGCACGCGGCCCCCCAAAGCGCAGGGCCCGGGGTGGTGGCTCCGATTCACCGTTACCCTCGGGACGGCTCTGCACAGCGTGGGGGGGGGGGGGGAGGCTCAGATCCCGTGGTGAATAGACAAAAGGCCTGTGTACGTGTACTGCACGTTGTGGAGACATGGTCTCACCGTTGTCCAGGGCGCCACGGTGGCCAGATGTAAACCACCTCGCCTGGTATTCAGGAGGTTGTAGGTTTGATCTCAATCCTGATGCTTAACTATATATTTGGAGTTTGCGTGTCTCTCTGTCTCCCCCCGTGGTCGCGTGGATTTTTCTCCGGGTCCTCCGGTATTTCCCTCCACATTTAGAATCAGCAACGCGCGTTTAGAGTAGTTGGCTGCTACTAAACATCTCCACGCGATAAGCCACTTTCGTTGAGCCATCATTTCCGATGGCCAGGTGGCTTCTGACAACAACAAAAAAGCTAATTGCTCGGTGGGCCTTACCTGGGTGAAATAAAATATATATAGTTTAGTTTAGTCGAGTCCACGATTCCCGTGTCACGTATCCCCTTCCCTCCCACTCCCCCCACTCCACCTGCCCATGACGGGGACCCGGGCAGGCGAGGTTGCGGGCTCGGCGGACGCGGTTTTGCCGGCCGTGGTGGCCCTGGCGTTGGTCGGCGCTCTGCTGTCGGCCTGCGTCTTCCTGCGACTCCGGCGTGCCAAACACCCCAGGTGAGGAGACGCGTCCTCGGCACGCCGTTGTCAATCCACTGCTGGATGGACATGAGCCTCCCCAGGTTGTTTCAGGCGGTGGGAGTTATCCGACTGGGATTCTGCCGTGACCTGTCAGTGTGCAGGCTTGTGAAGGCGGGGTATGCGCAGCATATGCAGGCTGCTTCAAGACAAATGGGACTATCGTTTTTAATGGGGGGAGAAACGGACAATGCACTGTGACGTGATAACAAATGTAATGTTAATAGCTTCAAAAAGTCAAAGAGTCTCCACTTGTTCGCCATCATTGTCAGCACATGCCCGGAATCTTCTCCAGGTGACCTCCAGAGCCCGAAGGCACATTTCTTGTGGTATTGTTGCAAATTCTCAGAAGTGTTAAAAAAAAAGTTGAAGCACCCTGTATGTATTGCACAGTAATACGCCGATTGACGTCTTCCCCCTTTCACGTCGTTTCGCAAATACGTCATCACCTTCATAACACCGCTACGCGATTAGCGTCGTCTCAACCCCGCACAATTACGCCGCTGACGGCATCGTTCGCTCCTTTCTCGTTATCCCGTCGTGTCTCAGCCCTTCGCCTCCACCATCAGCTACCTCTGTAAGTCGCTCTGATTGACGTCGTTTCGATATCCGTCGTCGTCGCACCCTTCAGGAACGCATCCCCGACGTTAACCGGGGTGGTGCTGGATCGGCAAAAACATAGGATGGTTTGTGATGATATCAATGACGGTCCGATTAAAGATGAATCGTTGTAGAGTTAAAAGATTTGCGTTGTTTTGATAAAATCATCCGCATAGTTGCCACTGGAGTTAGCCATGTCTGGGAATCGAACTCGCGTTGCACTTTAGGTGAGATCAATATTCCAAACGCTGCACTGTACCCCCACGGTGATTCTCGTGCTTAGCGCGAACAATATTTATCATAAATATATCATTAAAAATAATACTTAGGTAAGAACTCAGTTGCTGCATTCATACAAATATATTTAATCTGAAATTGCATTCGTATGGAAATCACAGTTATTATTATAATTGCTTCGTGAAACCTGATTAGATTCGCGATGTAAAAAAACACATCATGAATATTCTTCAATTCCCTCCATTTTATTGACGATAAGCTTTGATGTGTTTGTACTACGTGATGTGTTTATTAACTATAGTACTGACCTTTTGTTTGCTTGTCACCGTATCTGGCTATCTGTCCGCCTGTATCTCTCAGTGTTCCTCTCTGTCTGTCCGTCCATCTGCCCGTTGTGCCACCAAGTGCATTAATACTCCTCCCCCCCATCTTTTTCCAGGGGCTATGGCTCTGGCTCAGCAGTGACCTTATCTGTGGCCAACGGAGACGGAAAGCTACCCTTTACAAAGTGGGTGATGCCTCGTTTTTGACGCTGTTATGCAATTTGCGTGATGACACCACGAGCGGCGACCGATTGGTAAAGATGCGCTGTGAAGATGCGCTCATGATAAATACAGTGATGTGCAAAAAGAAAAAAAATAGTCAAAATTTGACCGATCGAATTATGGTTGATGTGTTTGTTTGTTTGTTTTACTCTCCCGGCCACACACGTCCACAACGGCGGTGACGCGGCCCAGGGGTAACGCGTCTGCCGCTCGTTGCAGGGGTTTCACGGTTCGAATTCCATTGGCCACCCTGGTTATTACCGCAGTGTGTAGTTACCGTGGTGATGCTGCGCACCGTCCACTTCTAATTGGACGTTAAAGATCCCCACCCCCGCCCACCGTGACGGAGTTCGCAAGAGCAGGCCATTGTGTGCCTGCGTCGGGGGTCCAAATTAGACAAGTTCCCCCACAAAGGTCAACAAGATCAACTTGAACGACAATCTCTCCGAGAAATACTTTAGAAAGCAAAGCGCAACGCAAAACAAAACGGCTCTTGTAGATGCACACCTTGGCTGCGTGCCCTGGGTTGTCCAACACGAGTGTGATCCACCGTTAATGACAACATATAATTGACAACGTTGCACGTTTACTCTGAGGAGTGTTTATCATATCTCGTCCTCGTGACGTTGTTGCGGTGTGACTGCTGTTGTAACTTGATCTATGTCTACGTAATGTGCAACAAAGGGTGGTGCGGAAAAATGCATTGTTGTGCTGTACTTCTACGCAGCCTAAATCTATGTTCTTTACCGCCACCAACACGCACTGACCAGCGTGGTGCAGTTTTACCCCCTCCCCCCCGCCACGATTCGAACGGCATGGGGTAAGCGCCGATCCAGCCGTGGAATGACCAACAGGGCCGTACGTGCGCATGTGCATCATAGCTCGCAGCGCATTGCGGGAGCCCGTGCTATAGCTACGCCACGAAACATCGAGTATTGTGGCAGCTGGTCTTGTCATACCACGAAACATCGAGCATTGTGGCAGCTGGTCTTGTCAAACCACGAAACATCGAGCATTGTGGGAGCTGGTCTTGTCAAACCACGAAACATCGAGCATTGTGGCAGCTGGTCTTGTCATACCACGAAACATCGAGCATTGTGGCAGCTGGTCTTGTCAAACCACGAGACATAGAGCATTGTGGCAGCTGATCTTGTCAAACCACGAAACGTAGAGCATTGTGGGAGCTGGTCTTGTGAAACCACGAGACACCGAGCATTGTGGGAGCTGGTCTTGTCAAACCAATGGAGATCAGTGCCTCCGTGGGAATACAAAATCAACCAATGGATGCCGCTCAGTCCGAGCTGCGACTACCCAGTAAACTTGCAACGTTGGCATGTGCTTGGAACCATTGGACTAACGTTGGCCCGACGTTCCATGTTTACTTTGTCGACGGACTTCCAGATGTGAATTGGTAATTTTACACAATCAAATGCAAGCTATCGCATTGCCATGGGTTCGTGTTTTGCTTTCACAGTAAATGACAGTCAACTCTCAATTATCAGTGGTGACGTGGGGTGTGGATGGCCCCAGTAAAATAAACGCACGCGTAAAGCAAGGCGCTTACATACGGCCATAGAAGCATTGTTCTTGTTGATCGACTGACAATATGGGGTGAAGCAACAGAATGTGTCGTCCGTATGCATCGCTTCTTGAAGTAACCGGTTTCATTAGCAACACGTGTTTGGTCATGAGGGTGCCGAGTCATCGACCCTCGACGAGTGAGGAGCGGGTCTAGTAAATCTGGTGGAGACGCTTGAAGGCCCGCGCCTCTTTAGCCCGGCTTCCGAGTGTCACTGCTCGTGGTTCCGCCTCGAGTCACGGACATTGACGCCTGCGAAATACTGGGCGCGTTACACATCATCATCATGAAACCAAAATACTGGGCGTGTTACACATCATCATCATGAAACCAAAATACTGGGCGCGTTACACATCATCATCATGAAACCAAAATACTGGGCGCGTTACACATCATCATCATGAAACTGAAATACTGGGCGCGTTACACATCATCATCATGAAACCGAAATACTGCGCCCGTTACACATCATCATCATCAAACCGAAATACTGGGCGTGTTACACATCATCATCATGAAACTGAAATACTGGGCGCGTTACACATCATCACCATCAAACCAAAATACTGCGCGCATTACACATCATCATCATCAAACAGAAATACTGGGCGCGTTACACATTACATCATCAAACCGAAATACTGCGCCCGTTACACATTGCATCACCATCAAACCAAAATACTGCGAGCATTACACATCATCATCAAACCAAAATACTGGGCGCGTTACAGATCATCATGAAACCAAAATACTGCGCGTGTTACATATTACATCATCATCATCATCAAACAGAAATACTGCGCACGTTACATATTACATCATCATCAAACCAAAATACTGCGCGTGTTACACATTGCATCATCATCAAACCAGGGTGAACGTAAACGGCGTGAACAAGCGCGGATAGGGTGCCACGGTGCCCAGATGTTAACAAGTATAACCCGTAAAAGCAAAGTTTTTCACTCTAAATCCTTTATATGCGTGGCGGCTAGAGTCCTCTCGTCCTCTGGCTTGAGATGGCTGCCACCTATGGGTCAGATGATTGCCTGCCACCATTAAGCAATTGGTAATTAAATATTTAATTTGTTTTCCATAAACAGTGTAAAATTTTGGGAAAAAAATTTCACGAACATTAATTGTCTCGCACAACGAGTCTGTGTGCAAAATGTCAGCTCGATTGGATCACGGGAAGTGGGTTAAAAAACGACCGAAAGGTTTGCACGGTCGTAAGCAAGCAACCAAGCACGCAAGCAAGCGAACTTAATATAAAGGATTTAAAAATAGGCTAATTCCTCAGTGGGCTTTACCTGGTAAGATAAAAAGTTTATATTTTATTTTCTATATTTTTAATGATTTTCTTGCCTTTTCTATACTTTGCACTCCTATCATGTTTTGTACTGTGAAAATAGCTTTATACCTCATCCGATTCCTCCGGTATAAATACATATTCTGATTCTGAATACCTCGCCTCGAATACAGGAGGTCGTGGGTTCAATTCCGACCCTGACGATGCCTGCATATTTGGAGTTTGCATGTCTCTCTCCCCGTGGTCACGTGGATTTTTTCCGGGACCTCTGGTTTTCCCCTCCACAATTAGAATCAACATCACGCGTTTTAGAGTATTTGGCTGCTATACATTTCCACATGCTAAGCCACTTTGTTGAGCCATCATTTGTGGCCAGGTCGCCTTTGAAAATAGCTATAGATCTCAGTGGGCCTTACCTGGCAAAAATAAGAAAATAGTTAGAATAATTGTGCGCGGTTGTGCGTTGCTATAAACGTATCAGGAAAACGCGCGTCATAATTCCTTTCTATCGCTGTATCTTTTTCGTTTATTCCACTCCCCCACCCAACAGAGGCAGGAGCTTTGGGAGGCGAAAAAAGCACAAACAGTAAGTAGTGGCGGCGCGCGGATGAGACCTCGCCGAGTCGCGAGACTTACATGACCGCGTTAATTCTTAGGCGGGGGAGTCAGATTATTGCCGCTGTAAAGGAGCCAAGTCCTCACTTCTCGCATCTACCGGAGTTACGTCCATCAGGGGGAGGCTACAGCCCTGTTGAGAAGTTATTATTGTTCTGGCGTTTCTTCTTCTTCTTTCGTATGGCTGATGTCGATGTAAAGCAACAACTGCAATTTAACATGCAGGTGGTCTAAGCCAGTTAACCGCGTCAGGAGCAGTAGCGGAGTGTATCATTGCCGTGATGTCTTCTTCGTATTTGTGGATCGGGCATCACGTTGTTCCACGCCCGCCCGTCCACGTATGAGATGAGAGAGGTGCTTTTCTATTACGTAGACTTTCCCGACAAATATTATCCATGAGGTTTTTTTTGGGTTAAATCGCGTAAATATATAAACGTGTCGTTAAAGCCGCCACCACCCGACACAGCCTATTAGGTTTGTCACGGAAACAGAACGTGCCAATTCGTTACTAGTACAGCACACCGGTGTGTTGGAGAGTAAACCCACAACAATTACAATTTGAGTCGTCAAATAATTTAACGACATATTTGTATTTGCGTGGTCTAGTTCCAAAAAAAACCTCTATTATAGGGGCTTTTATTTTGAAATGTTTTGTGTTTTGTTAGAGGGGAGGGGTGGGGTGTTTTTTTAATTCACCACTTGATCCTTCAAGACGGGGCACTTTAAACAGAGCACCGCACGCGCAAGGCTCAGAATCTAACCAGCTTTTGAGCCCGAATCATGCTCGGATGGGCGACCACCACATATGCCAGGTGCTGTAGGTTTACAGCATGCATGGTGGGCAGCAGATGGCAGCGCAACTACATTCAGTTGTTTGGCACCGCACCCCTCCGCTCCCACATCTACATGTAGGGAAACCACAGACTCGCCGATTTAACGGGTGGAGCTGTGGCGAATCTTGCGACCCGAGTTCTACGGCCGCCCGCCTTTACCGACCTGCATTAACCAGCGTAGTTGAATGATGGTCATCCAGCAGCGGATCGGCAGAAGGGGGCCGTGCACACGCGCGCACGGCACCGTGTGCGCTGCTCGTGGGTGCGCTGTCTCACATCGTTTCTCCTTGCAGCCCAGTACCCATGTCCGAGTTCGGGCAGAACGTCCTCGCCATGTCTCGCGACTCGGGCTACAAGTTCACCGTGGAGTTTGAGGTGGGGGCCCCTGACACGGCTTCGTTTCTTTCTCACCAGTTGCCCCGCGGGCGGTCACCGCTAGACTGGAGGAGGAGGTACACGGCCACGAGTAGCCGAGCTCATAGCGAGAGAGCTGTTCGGGATTGTGGTGTGCGCTGGCTGCGAAAAAAATGTTTCAGGGTTGCCGGCCCAGACAGATCCTCCTTATAACTCTTCTATCGCTATTAGCATAATTTATCTTCCGGTGAAATTGACTGTAAACTAAACTTACTTTTGGTTTATAACCAAGTAAGGCCCCCTGAGCTATACAGTTATTTTTCAGTGATGACTTGGCCACAAATGATAGCTCAACAAAGTGGCTTATCACGTGGAAATGTTTCGCGGCCAAATAATCTGAACGCATGTTTCTAAATGTGGAGGGGAAAATCCTCAAAACCACGGGGCGAATATGCAAACTCCAAATATACAGCAGCAGGCGTCACGGTTGGGATGGAACTCACGACCTCCTGTATACCAGGCGAGGGAGTGAACAGCTCGCCGATTCCTTCACCCATGACGAGGACTAGGTCTACACGACTGTTTCGTTACATCCACAGCGTGTCCAGCCGTCACGCTGCAGGTCACAACAACACACTCACTCACCCACTCATCCACCCACCCACCTACCCACTCACTCACCACACTGCAGGCCACGACGCTTCTTTTGCTGCTTCTGCCCTCACCGTGCTCCACTTTGGAATTCCCTCCCATCGTCTGTTCCCCCTCCTCCCCCCCAAAAAAGCTCTTACCACAATAAGCCCGCTCAGTTCAGCTCTTTATCCGTTACAGCTTTAAAAAGGTGCCGTTTGTTGCTGGCCGCTTGGCGTGTCTTGGCCTTCGGACCCGTGCTGAGCGACCGGCGACAGCGAGAGAGAAAGAAAAAATAACAACGCCACCTCCACGTGTCCCCAGCTGAATGAAGCCCTGGGGGCACAGCAGACGTTCGCTGCTCTGTGCTGTTGACATAATCGCCCCGATTGGGCAAGCAGACCCCATCGTGTCAGCCACCCGCTGGCAGGCAAATTGTGTACCCAGAGGCCAGACAGGTCCCGCACCCCCCAACTCCCCAGTTAACCTTGCCACGAAGCTGTTGAGAGCCAGCAAGGGCAACTGTCCACCCACAAACCAGAGCTCCCAGACCGTGAGTCATTCGTCCAGTCGCCAATTAAAAAACAATCCCACCCGCCCAGTACGAATAATAAACAAGGTTATAATAGACACATTGATATCGTGGCCGTTATCATACGGGGTGGGGTGGCTGGTGGCAGTGGTGACGCTCGCGCCTAACGGCAGGAAGGGCCTGGGTTCGATTACGGACACGGGCAACTTTCTGTGTGGAGTTTGTTAGTTCTCGCTCTGTCCTGCAGGAGTTACCCCAGGGTTCTCTGGTTTCCTCACACAGCAAACTTCCACCCCCTCCCATAATCAAACTGGTTTTGACTTAACATGCCAATGCTGAGAAATAACCTTCAAATGATTAAAGTTGGATTACATTTTCATACAGATCACATTCAAATATTATTATTCATGCAGGATTCAATCTTTTACCACACTTCCTCTTCGCACAAGTCTGACGTATACGTATTTCAGATGCTATCACACTTCACGCAAATATTAATCGAGCAGCATTGAACCATTTACGGGCGGTCAATCATTTACACCTCTCGCACAAACTCTACGCAAGTCGTAAGCGACCATTGCCCTTTAGCCCGCGGAGTGAACGAGACCGGACAAAAGAGACGACCACGAACAATACACAACGCGACGGAGACCCAAGAGAATAGATCTTACATTTTGACTTAAAACTGAGTATCCAATCCGAATAGTGAAACCCGCAATGGTGGCTCGGCGAAGCGTTTACACTCTTGCTCCGGGATCAGGTGACCTGTGGAACAACAACACCTCTCCGCCCACGTCACGACTGGACAACCTCGTGGGGGGCAGTGGCTTTGCCCTCTGCCACACCTGCCCCCCCTCTCCAGAGACCCCCCCCCCCCTGCCATGGGGAACGCACACGCGTGTGTGTGTGCGTGCGTGTGTGTGCGTGCGTGTGTGCGTGCGTGCGCGAGGGTTTTGCAAACACAAAGAGTGGTGGGAGCAGTTGTTGTCGCACTTGCGCTACGAACCTGGTTCCCCCAATACATTCCGAGGGCCCGCTGCTAGTAGGTACGGCAAGTGATGTTTGAACCTGTGTCTGGGAATCTCCTAGGCCGACTCAGCCTCAAATGAGTACCTGGTGCGGTGTGTAAATATCGGTACTCGAGAGAGAGGACGTTCGCCCGGCTATGAATGGTGCTGGCCACACCACCCAGCCGTGTGGCGTTCCCAGCCTTAACAGGTGCTCGCAAACAGAACTTACCCCGAGTATCTATAAAGTCGACAAAGAGGGCACCTCTAAAGTTGAGGTGCATTTGGTTAACCGGGTGAGAACTCAAAGAGACGAGGATAGTCTCACAAGCGAGAGTGATCTGGCTCACCGACATGACTAAAGCGAAACAAGTTCAAGCAATTTCGATTTAAAGCTTTCGTGACTGCAGGGATTCATCTTCTTGGTTCTTTCGGTAAAGTCACGTAGAAGGGAAGTAATAAAAGAATAATTATAAAAGATAATAAAATAATTCTGTTTTATTTTTATTATTTTATTACTTCCCTTCTACGTGACTTTACCGAAAGAACCAAGAAGATGAAGTTCAAGCAAGCACAGGAGTGAAGCGAAGTCGTAGCAAAAAAACAAACAGCCATATCCCATTTAAAAACGTAACGTTGAATAATGAATTCCCTGCAGCGTACACGATGACTCGGGCACATTATTTCGAGACTGACCAGTCGACAATTACAGTCAAGTCACAGAACAACACCGCACGGGAAACGGGTGACGAATGGTGCTAATAATCTCTGCGTGTGGATTCCGCAGGAGCTGCGGTTGATAGGAGCGGAGTTTTCGCACGAAGCTGCCGACCACTTGGCCAATCGGGGCAAGAATCGCTACACCAACATCCTGCCGTGTGAGTCGCTCGCGCACGAGGCGTGCCGAGAGACGCCGATTCGCCCGTCGTGTCTGCGAGGCCGATAAAATAATATCGTGAGAGTTGTTTTTATTTCATCTTGATTTGACGCTTTCGTGACTGCAGGAATCCATACCCTTTGGTTCTTTCGGTAAAGTCACGTAGGTATAAAATAAAATAAATCATTATTTTATTTTGTCATATTTTTTTTTACAATGTATACAGCTCAGTAACATGGGAGGGATGCCGAACAAATGACGATGACATTACACGCGACATAACCTCGCTCTATTTAAGACCGTAAACAGGAAGACTTATTAACAATTCTGGAAAATCGCCTGATGAAGCTGGTTGTAATCACCGGCGAAAAGTCACAGTACTCAAATTGTTAACGTTGTGGGTTTACTCTCAAACACACCAGCCAGGGTTGGGATCGAACCCACTACCGCTTGCATACCAGGCAAGGCCGTTAACATCTCACCACCGTGGCGCCATTGACAAATTAACATTATGGCGGGGCCCCGGGGTCCCGAATAAACGGAAGTCGAAATCGTAATACATTTATTTACTTTTGGCGACTCCGTCCCACCGCGCACATAAACGCCGCGACCCACCGAAAACCAATCCTCTCGTTCTTCACCAAGCACCCGTCGTTGCCAAAATTGCCGTAGTCATTAACAAAACTTTGAAACGTTGATTAGCGCATCGTGTAGAGCTCATCGAGAGGAATAGATGGCCGTGTCGTTCGCCTTCAACAGACGTGAAATGACGTCGCAACGCAGTTCACGCGAGAGCCGGGGTGGGCTTATGGGACCCCGGGGTCCCGCCATAAGGTTCAAATGTGTTGAGTGTTTAGTTACTTGTGCTCGCAGCAGCAGCAGCAGCGTCACCGAGTAATCCGTTTAAACTACGAGACGACCCTTTGAGTCACCCTGGCCGCCACTGTCACCTGCAGATGACTTCAGCCGCGTCATCCTGTCCAGCATCGAGGGCGAGGAGGGGTCCGACTACATCAACGCCAACTACATCCCCGTAGGTGCCACGCAGACTCTCGGCTATCGAGTGCGCAGGCGGTGCAACTGCACACCGGGGCCCACGGGCGGGGTCGGAGGGGCCCTGATGCCGGCCGACGAAGAGAGGAGACATTGGACAGGGGAGGGGGGGTCCGGGGGGGGGGGTCCCGTTTCATTGCTTGCACCGGGGCCCATTCCAAACACGCGAGGCCAGGCCATTGGCCCAGCTGATGCTCTATTTTAATACCAGAGGGCAGGATGACGGACAGGATTGATGTGACACTTGCGTGACACTCACCTGACCCTCTTCAGACATCGCCCCAGCATTCACCCGAGCCGGAGTAAACGATATCTGGAGGCACACACACCACACCACGCACACCGAACACCGCATCACACACACCGCACACCGCATTACACACACCGCACACCGCATCACACACCACGCACACCGCACAACACATCACGCACAACACACACCGCACAACACCCCACGCACACCGCACAACACCCCACGCACACCGCACAACACCCCATGCACAACACACACCGCACAACACCCCACGCACACCGCACAACACATCACGCAGCACTCACAGCACATGACGCAGAACACAGAACGCACAACACATCACGCACATCACACACACCGCACACCGCACAGCACATCACGCACGCCGCGTGCCGCCCCCCAGGGCCACCGCTCTCCCAAGGAGTACATCGCGGCGCAGGGCCCCCTGCCCAGCACGTGTGACGACTTCTGGCGCATGGTGTGGGAGCAGGACACGCGCGTCGTCGTGATGCTCACGCAGTGCGTGGAGAGAGGACGGGTGAGCCCACGCGCGGGACACGGCACACGAGACACTCTCGCTCGCTCACGGGTGATCACACGCAGGGTGCTAGACACTCGCTTGCCCATTTGTACCGTCGCCTGAGCGTTCATTCTCTCGATCGTTCGTTCGCGAACGAACTGGCCAGGAGGCATCGCCGTGCGGCAGCGAACGACGATCGCAATGAGGCGGATTTGCACAACGAGCGTCCCTGCGGGTCGGCTCATGTCCGTGGCTCCGCCCGCAGATCAAGTGCGAGCACTACTGGCCGTTCGACGAGGAGGTGGTGGACTACCGCGGCTTCGTCGTGCGCCGCATCTCCGAGTCGGCGCTCGCCGAGTGGACCGTGCGCGAGTTCCAGATCGGTCGGGTACGGTGCAGCCGATGCCTTCCCTCCCACGCGGTGGTGGTGGTGATGCTTGCGACGGTGATGATGGTGGTGTTGGTGCTGGTGCTGGTGGAGATGATATATATGATAGTAATGGTGGTGGTGATCATGGCGATTAGGATGGTTGGCTACGTACGGTGCAAAAGAAGTTCAACGTACATATAGTACGTACATGATGGTGGTGATGGTCGTCAATTTGGTGGTGGTGGCGGCGGTGATGGTAGCGACCGTGGTAGTCCATGGAGGTGGTGTTGGTGGTAGTGGATAATGTGGTGGTTCTGATTGCGGCAGTGGCAATAGCGATGAACGATAATCACGTCGACGGCAGCAGCAGCGACAACAGCGGTGGCTTTGGACGTGGCGACGTTGACATTGATCAATGACGATGGACGGGACGACTGCGCTAACGAACGACGATTGTGCGTCGGCAGGACGGGGAGACGCGCGTCGTGCGGCAGTTCCACTACACGGCGTGGCCCGACCACGACGTGCCGAGCGAGAGCTGCACGCGCCGCGTGCTCGAGTTTGTGCGCACCGTGCGCTGCCACGTGACGCCGGGCTCGGCACCCATCGTCGTTCACTGCAGGTACCCGCGCCGCGCCGCGCCGCGCTCGCTCGATCGATCGAATCGATCGCTCGCGCTGCGAACTTTTTTTTTCGTTTTATTTACATGGTGTTTCAAAATAGATTGACTCAATTTCAAAGCAGTATATTTTACGATGGCAACATGTTCCAATTGCACAAAAAGTGACACACGGTTTAATGAGTTCAATCTAGATTTGAAGTTTTCGTGGCTGCAGGGATATATACTCTTTGGTTCTTTCGGTAAAGTCACGTACCCTCCTACCTCTCCCCTCTCATCTCACTATATTCCCCTCCACGCACTATCCTACCTCTCCCCTCTCATCTCACTATACTCCCCTCCACGCTCTCTCCTACCTCTCCCCTATTATCTCACTATACTCCCCTCCACGCACTCTCCTACCTCTCCCCTCTCATCTCACTCTACTCCCCTCCACGCACTCTCCTACCTCTCCCCTCTCATCTCACTCTACTCCCCTCCACGCACTTTTCTACCTCTACCCTCTTATCTCACTCTACTCACCTCCACGCACTCTCCTACCTCTCCCCTCTCATCTCACTCTACTCCCCTCCGCGCACTCTCCTACCTCTCACCTATCATCTCAATCTACTCCCCTCCGCGCACTCTCCCACCTCTCATCTCACTCTACTCCTCTCCACGCACTCTCCTACCTATCCACTTTCATCTCACTATATTACCCTACACTCTCACTACTCTAGCAACAGACAACTTTTATGGAAGCCCCAGTCAACCATCACTCGGTGGGAGGTCGCTCCTTCTCCTTTGCTGCCTTCATGATCACAGACTTCATATCATTCGGGGTGATTTGGTCTTAACAGGTGTTGCCATCTCTCTGCCACCCTGAATGTTGGATTTTTATATTGATTTACCTCTTCATAGCTTCATCCAAATATTATTTTAATCGCGCCGTATTGATCTCGTTGATCGCTCCGTGCCGATCGCTCCATGTCGACCTCGCTGCATTTGATCTTTTTGTGTTGACCGCTCTGCTTTGACCGCTCCATGTTGACCGCTCCGTGTTGACCACTCCATGTTGACCGCTCCATGTTGACCGCTCCGTGTTGACCACTCCATGTTGACCGTTCCTTGTTGATCGCTGCGTTTTGATCTCGTCGTGTTGACCGCTCCACGGGGACCACTTCATGCTGATCGCTTCGTGTTGACCACCCCGCGTTGACCGCCCCACGTCGACCACTCCGTGTTATCCACTCTATGCTCAGTGCCCCGTATTGACCACCCTGCGTCGACCACTCCATGATGATTGCCCTCGTGTTGACCGCCCCGTGTCGACTGCTCCGCATTGACCACTCCATTTTTACCGCCCCGTGTTGACCGCTCCGTGTTGCCCATCTTTGTGTTGACCATCGTTTCTCGACCACCGTCGCAGCGCGGGCGTGGGTCGCACGGGGACGTTCATTGCCCTGGATCGGCTCATCCAGCACCTGCAGGAGCTCGACTTTGTGGACATTCTGGGCCTGGTGGCCGAGCTGCGACTCCACCGCGCGAGCATGGTGCAGACAGAGGCAAGGCACCCGCAGTAACATCACCACCGTCACTGTCGCTAGCGTCTTCACGGTACGGCGCACGCACCATCGCAGCAGCCACCGGTGCCATCGGCAACGTCATCTTCGTCGTTGTCATCATTGCCATGCCGTCGTCGTCACTGTTATCTATGTCTTCTTCATAAATGCCAATTTCATCATCACCACCACCATCAATCACTATTATCATTAATGTCAACATTATCATTGACTTTGTGTCTGTGGGACTATTTATGTGTATATGTGTGTATCATAGGTGCTTGCTAACAGCACTTGCCCCAAAATTCAGTTTCGGCTATATGGGGGAATCTTTGTCTTTGTCTGTGTATGGGTGGCTAATGCATGGTGAGTTGGCACAGTGGAGAGTGCAGTTGGTGCATCTGCCAATCATCTCAGTCAACCCCATAACACCTGGGTCTATCCTGTGACCTGGCAGCAGAAAGCCTGCCACACGTCAAGCGATGGAATCAACTTGCAACTGGCCTGGCACAAGCGCCACTTAATGGCGAATGGCGGCTGCTGTTGTGTGCACGTGTGTGTCTGGTGGGGAGTGGTGGTGCAGCGGTTAGCGTGCGGCGCTACTAACCCGGTGACCCTAGTAGGATTTCCGCTCAAGGCACAACACCGGTGACGATTATCTAAACCGGTCCTGGGCATCCCCTAGGTTGACTCAGCCACAAATGAGTACCTGGTGCGGCGTGTAAACATCGCCACTGGGGAGACAACTGCAGTCGATGATGGGTGCTGGCCACCAACCCCCTCGTGTGCTGTTGCGGCCTTCATAGGCCCTACTCGCTAACATCACTTGCCCCAACAGTCTAATGAAGGCTATACGGGGGATCTTTGTCTCTTGTCTTTGCATGGCAGCTGCAGTACGTGTTCATGTGTGTGTGTGTGTCTCTATGTTACGCATGGCAGGTGCAGTACGTGTTCATGTGTGTGTGTGTATGTCTCTATTTTACGCATGGCAGGTGCAGTACGTGTTCATGTGTGTGTGTGTGTCTATGTTACGCATGGCAGGTGCAGTACGTGTTCACGTGTGTGTGTGTCCCTATGTAATGTATGGCGGGTGCAGCACGTGTTCATGTGTGTGTCTCTATGTTACGCACGGCAGGTGCAGTACGTGTTCATGTGTGTCCCTATGTTCATTATGGCAGGTGCAGTACGTGTTCATGTGTGTGTGTGTGTCCCTATGTTCAGCATGGCAGGTGCAGTACGTGTTGATGTGTGTCCCTATGTTACGCATGGCAGGTGCAGTACGTGTTCATGTGTGTGTGTCTCTATGTTCAGCATGGAAGGTGCAGTACGTGTTCATGTATGTGTCTCTATGTTACGTACGGCAGGTGCAGTACGTGTTCATGTGTGTGTCTCTATGTTACGCACGGCAGGTGCAGTACGTGTTCATGTGTGTGTATCTCTATGTTCAGCATGGAAGGTGCAGTACGTGTTCATGTATGTGTCTCTATGTTACGCACGGCAGGTGCAGTACGTGTTCATGTGTGTGTCTCTATGTTACGCACGGCAGGTGCAGTACGTGTTCATGTGTGTGTGTCTCTATGTTCAGCATGGAAGGTGCAGTACGTGTTCATGTGTGTGTGTGTCCCTATGTTCAGCATGGCAGGTGCAGTACGTGTTCATGTGTGTCCCTATGTTCAGCATGGCAGGTGCAGTACGTGTTCATGTGTGTGTGTGTGTCCCTATGTTCAGCATGGCAGGTGCAGTACGTGTTGATGTGTGTCCCTATGTTACGCATGGCAGGTGCAGTACGTGTTCATGTGTGTGTGTCTCTATGTTCAGCATGAAAGGTGCAGTACGTGTTCATGTATGTGTCTCTATGTTACGCACGGCAGGTGCAGTACGTGTTCATGTGTGTGTCTCTATGTTACGCACGGCAGGTGCAGTACGTGTTCGTGTGTGTGTCTCTATGTTATACATGGCAGGTGCAGTACGTGTTCATGTGTGTGTCTCTATGTTACGCATGGCAAGTGCAGTACGCGCTCATGTGTGTCCCTATGTTACGCACGGCAGGTGCAGTACGTGTTCATGTGTGTGTCCCTATGTTACGCACGGCAGGTGCAGTACGTGTTCATCCACCTGTGCGTGCTGGAGATGTGGAGGCAGTCAGGCCAGGCGAGCGGGCTGAGCGAGGCCGTGTACGAGAACGTCCGCTCGGGCGCGCTGCTCCACCCGCCCGGTGAGGGTCGAGGAGGGTTCAGACGAGTGGAAACTATGTTGTGTTCTCACTACTTTTAGTTCTACCAGGTAAAGCCCACTGAGCTATATAGAGCTCTTTTTACAGAAACGACCAGGCTATCACACAGTTGACAGCGATCGTCATGTGTGTGTGGGGGGGGGGGGGGGGGTTGACACATGCACAGCGGCCAAACACTCGAAACGCGCGTTCATTCTAAAAGCCGAGGGGGAAATCCGGAGCCAACCGCGCTAACCCGAGGTACGGCGGTGTGGGGAAGGACCACAAACTAAACATGAACAAAAATTAACCCGTAAAAACAAAGGTTTTCACTATAAATCCTTTATATGCGTGGCGGCTAGAGTCCTCTCGTCCTCTGGCTTGAGATGGCTGCCACCTATGGGTCAGATGATTGCCTGCCACCATTAAGCAATTGGTAATTAAATATAATTTATTTTTTCCTAAAAAGTTTAAAATTTTGGAAAAAAAATTTCACGAAAATAAATTGTCACGCACAACGAGTCTGTGTGCAAAATGTCAGCTCGATTGGATCACGGGAAGTGGGTTAAAAAACGACCGAAAGTATTGCACGGTCGTAAGCGCGCAAGCAAGCAAGCAAGTGAACTTAATATAAAGGATTTTAAAACGAGATGTGCGTGCGCGTAACTCGGTGGCGTTCTCTGACAGTGCCCCCCCCCCCCATTCTGCACGTCTCACGGCGTCGTTCTTGTCCCCTAGACGTCATCTACTGAACGCCGCGGGGAGGCAAGAGCGCAGCAGGAGCTTTCTCCAAGTCCGCCGAAGGGGTCTTTGTCCTTCGGCGGGTCCCAAGGAGGCGATGATCGTTTCACGAAACAGGAAAAGAAAAATACGAAAAGCATCGCCGGAGCCCCCCCCACCCCCGAACCCTGCCCCCCGAAACTAAACGGAGTTCGTTCAATCGTCGTCGACAAACGAAACGATCGGCAAGAAAACAAAACAACAATTTACGCGAGGATGAAGATTGACAGCAGAAGATTGTACCGTTATATAAGCGCCCTGCTCCACAAGTCGTGCATATGAATGCGGGTCACCCTGTAACGGTGAAGAAGTCGTCATCCACACGGGAATGCAGACGGGTCGATTGAAACCCGGCCAACTGGAACACGAGCTGCAGCGGTGGTCGGATTTTGGACACACAAAAGAGGGCGGCGGTAATGGGGAGGTTTGGGTGACCGCCTCATAGACCAGTGGTGGGGGGCAGGGGGGGCAGGGGGGGGGCAGGACACCCTCTTCATTCTGTCCACTCGGTGTAAAACTCCACGAGTGGGACGAGACGTTACGAGTGCAGACCGCGACGGTCCCAACTGCTGCAGGATCTAGCAGCAGGAAGGAAGAGATGGAGGCGTGGTGCCGGGCAGCGAGATGCTGAAGCAAACACACAACCAGGACGTAGGGGCACGAACCTCCTTCTATGGCCTCCCCCCCCCCCCCCCCCCCCCATAAAATCGTCGCCACAGAAGCCCGGATTTCAGCTCTCCTCTTCCTCTCTGCGTCGTTTGCGCTGCCCTCGGTGGTGGCGGGGGGCACCATCGTGGCAGCAGTCGAGAACGAGGCGGCAATAAACAAGGCGCAGGCCCTGGGGGTGTCCGAGTGACGCCACACGCGGTGGACTACAACGCACGGGCGTGGGGGAGACGCGGCACCACCGCCCCCCCCCCCCCCCCCCTGGTGGAACCCCACGGCCGGGCCGCCACTTCGGAGCGTGCGACCAACAAGAGCCTCGTCGTGACGTCTCTTTGGAGAGCAGAAAGCACCAGCACCACGTGTAGCAACTGCAACACCACCACCACGTGAAGCAACCGCAACACCACCACCACGTGTAGCAACCGCAAGACCACCACCACCACTTGTATCAACCACAACACCACCAACAACACGGGGTCCAAGCTCAACACCACCAGCACCACCATCACATGGTCCAGCCTCAGCAACATCACCACGGAGTTCAACCTCAACACCACCATCAATCACATGGTCCAGCCTCAGCAACATCACCATGGGGTCCTACCTCAACATCACCATGACACGTTCCAGCCTCAACACCTCCATGTGTTTCCAGCCTCAACGCCACCACCACGTGTTCCTTACCGTTGGATCTGGCCGCTGGGTGCCAGCATTGTACATGGCGGTCGGTAATGGGGCGACGCGGGCTGCCCTTACCGACTGGCTGACGGTAGCCAGAGCCACGGGAGAGGATTCTTCTAAACTATAAACTTAAACTGTTTTTATTTAACCAGGTGAGGCCCGCTGAGCTATGGAGATAGTTTCGTGGAAGTGACCTGGCCACGAATGATCGCCCAACGAAGTGGCCTACGGCATGTCAATTTATAGCAGCAGTGACATACTCCGAACGCGTGTCGATGCTAAATGTGGAGGGAAAAAACGGAGGACTCGGAGTAAAACCCACGCGACCACTGTGGGTGAAAGAGAGAGACACACACGCAAACTCGGGGTCGAATCCAGGACCTCCTGCACACCAGGCGAGGGAGTTAACATCTCGACCGAGGGTGGAGCTAGCCTGACCTCCATCCCCGAACTCGTGAGCACGCAGTGCCTCGCCTGAGCGCTTATTCCACTTGTTTAATAAATAAATTAAGAGCCCCCTGGAATTCAAGAGACAGAGAGAAAGACACTTCTCACCGGTTTTCTCATTACGAAGGAGGGATAAACCGGAACTGGAAACTGTTGAGTTGTAAAGCAACACGTGAGGATATATTTTTTGTACATGTGTATATATAAACAAAGACAAAGATCCATCACCTCCTATAGCCTTCACAGACTGTCGGGGCAAGTGCTGTTAGCGAGCACCTATGAAGGCTGGCACAAGCCACGAGGGAGTGGGTGGCCAGCGCCATGCCCGACCGCCTTTGTCTCCCCTCAGTGGCGATGTTTACACACCACACCAGGTACTCATTTCAGGCTGAGTCGACCTAGGCGAGGCCCAGGACTGGTTCAGATAATCGTCGGCGGGAATCGAACTGGGGTCCACCGGGTTTGTAGTGCAGTGCGCTAACCGCGACACGAGAACTACACACGCGCAGCGCGTTGAGATGTTCGACGTTGGGAAAGTGAAAAAAGCACGTGCCGCTCACGACTGTGCCTTAGGCAGACGGCAGAGGGAACGCAGAGGTGACACTGACCGCGTGTGACCGCTGAACCCACGTGACCTCGCGAAACCCAGTGAAGAACCACAGTGCTTGTACGGCATTGGACTCTACGCTCCCTCGCCATCGACAGCCGACAAGGAGCGGCACCTGGCGAAGACGAGCTTCGCGAGCCGCACGCCGTGGTGAGAACAACCTCATCCAGCAGTGGATTGACAATAGGGCTGTGAACGAGCTTACGCACAATTACAATTGCTAAACGATGGGGGAGGGTCGGCCTCTTCCCTTCGACAAATTGGCACAACAGCGGCCGTGCCAACTTTCACAATCCGGTCATAAAATTCTCACCTTTGAAGACTTCGGTGCGAGTCGCGCCGGTGTTGTTTGGGTGTCCGGGGTTGGACTGGTGCCGGTGTTTGGGTGTTGGGGGTTGGTAGTCTCACGGGTGTTAGGGTGTTCAAGGCTGGAGGCGGCAATGTTTGCGGCACGAGCGAACACTTGCTGCGTCTGTTGTGTCTCAACTCGCCAAAGCTTCGTCGGCTATCGTCAAAGCCTACGATTGTTATTATTATTATTTGTATAGAACTGTTAAAGCCACTGTAGGTTAGTCAGCAAGGCGGCCGGGCGGCTCAAAGGGCCGAGCATTTCAGCGCTAAGATCGTGGGTTTCGAATCCGGTTTTTAGCCGCCCCGTGCGACTTATTCTGTGTTTATTAAGTCCGGCGAGTTGATGGTCTCGGCCCACTCACTACTGAGTCCGTACACACACACACACAAAATAAAACCACGTGAAATTAGTTTTTTTTCACTTAACTTGGCAAAAATATTCCAGCCCTGAGAATGAAAATAAATACATCAATTTCACAGCCACGTGATGAACATTTCTCTACAGCAGGATGCCAAGTGCAGCACCCCGAGTGTGGAGATGTGGTCACTTGAAGGGATCTCATAAAGAGGTCTGTCACATCTCCTTCCACGTGCTGTTAGCTAACACAGGGGGGGGTGATACACTGCTCACTGCGATATTTCCGAATCAACACTTCATCTCTTGACATGATGCGATAGCACAAACGGTACAGGGAATGAGATGGGGGTACCCTCTACACACTCAGTATCTACGCCACCGCTTAGCAGACCCAACGCCCAAGAGTTCGGATGCTCTGCCACGAAGCCCTGAGTCTCTGCCAGCGTGAGTGCCTTCATAGTTCACAGTGCATCTGGTATGGAGGTGCGCGAGTGCATGAGTGAGTGCGTGAGTGAGTGAGTGTTTGAGTGAGTGAGTGTTTGAGTGAGTGAGTGCGTGAGTGAGTGTTTGAGTGAGTGACTCCATGCGTGCGTGAGTGCGTGGGCGAGTGAGTGCGTGAGCGAGTCCGCGTGTGCGTGAGTGAGTGTGTGCGTGAGTGAGTGCGTGAGCGAGTCCGCGTGTGCGTGAGTGAGTGTGTGCGTGCGTGAGTGAGTGAGTGCGTGAGCGAGTGAGTGCGTGGGCGAGTGAGTGCGTGAGTGCGTGGGCGAGTGAGTGAGTCCGTGCGTGCGTGAGTGAGTGAGTGAGTGCGTGCGTGAGTGAGTGCGTGAGTGAGTGAGTGACTCCATGCGTGCGTGAGTGCGTGGGCGAGTGAGTGCGTGAGCGAGTCCGCGTGTGCGTGAGTGAGTGTGTGCGTGCGTGAGTGAGTGAGTGCGTGAGCGAGTCCGCGTGTGCGTGAGTGAGTGTGTGCGTGCGTGAGTGAGTGAGTGCGTGAGCGAGTGAGTGCGTGGGCGAGTGAGTGCGTGAGTGCGTGGGCGAGTGAGTGAGTCCGTGCGTGAGTGAGTGAGTGCGTGCGTGAGTGAGTGCGTGCGTGAGTGAGTGCGTGAGTGAGTGAGTGACTCCATGCGTGCGTGAGTGCGTGGGCGAGTGAGTGCGTGAGCGAGTCCGCGTGTGCGTGAGTGAGTGTGTGCGTGCGTGAGTGAGTGAGTGCGTGAGCGAGTCCGCGTGTGCGTGAGTGAGTGTGTGCGTACGTGAGTGAGTGAGTGCGTGAGCGAGTGAGTGCGTGGGCGAGTGAGTGCGTGAGTGCGTGGGCGAGTGAGTGAGTCCGTGCGTGCGTGAGTGAGTGCGTGCGTGAGTGAGTGCGTGAGTGAGTGAGTGAGTGACTCCATGCGTGCGTGAGTGCGTGGGCGAGTGAGTGCGTGAGCGAGTCCGCGTGTGCGTGAGTGAGTGTGTGCGTGCGTGAGTGAGTGAGTGCGTGAGCGAGTGAGTGCGTGGGCGAGTGAGTGCGTGAGTGCGTGGGCGAGTGAGTGAGTCCGTGCGTGCGTGAGTGAGTGCGTGCGTGAGTGAGTGCGTGGGCAAGTGAGTGCGTGAATGAGTCCGCGCATGCGTGAGTGAGTGCGAGCATGCGTGAGTGATTGAGTGAGTGCGTGAGTGAGTGCGAGACGTATGGCCTGGGCACCCGAGGGGACACAAGTGGGCCTCGCTTCGCCGGCGTCACCTGCCGCCCGGCGCACCGCTGCGTCTTTGTCGGACTCCCTTAAGGAGCGTGTCCGAGGCCTCTTCACAGACAGCGCCGTTGTCACACGCGGCCGCGGAGACCTACGGCGAGGGTTGCTGTCGAGTATACAGGCGGTGCAACTGCACCGGGGGGGGGGGGGGGGGTCAACACGGGCTGGAGGGTTACGAAGAGAGGAGATGGGGAGAGGGCGGAATTTTTTACACCAGGGACCCATGCCAACCACGTGGTAGAACCGGACAAAGGCCTATATGGTTTCGAGAGGGAGAAAGTGGCACCAGTTGAGATTTTGAAACGCCAGGCGTGTTGTGCAGTGTACGACGCCGCGTGCCTGCGTGCACAAGAGGCACGTGTAACGAGGGTCGTGGTTCACTCAAACGAACAAATGCATTCGCATTGCACACGCAATACCATACCTGCACACGCACAATGTGACACACGTACGTACGTACATGCAAGCATACTGATACTGTAATCATACATACGTGTATTCGTCCATTGACCTAAAGTGTAATGTAAAATGTACATACATTTGTCAATGTGACTACAGCCAATGTATATGCTCCTATTATGAGTCGCATGATGAACGTACGAATGAGGTGAACGCCGTGGCCCGGTGGCACGGTGGTTAACGCGCAGCGCAACGAACCCGGCGAGCCGAGCTCGATTCTTGGCATTGGCGGTCGATTCTGAACCGGTCCTGCGGGCCACCTTCCACCAGAACGGTGGCTAAATAATAGCCACGACTCTCAATGGAGTTTAAGGCTAAGTCGACCTACTGGACGTCAAGTACCCGTTCAGATATGTGTCACTTTTAATTGGTCGTGCAAATCAAGCTCGGGTCGCTGGGTTCGTAGCACACTGCGCTAACCACCACACTACCGCTCCCCATATGAAGCAACACACACACACACCTGCACAGTCAAACCTCACCGAAAGTGCCAATGACTCAATGACTCGCAGGGACGTGAGTCACGCATATAGCAAGCACCCCGAGGTGTCACCGTACCACATGGAGGAGGACAAAGACAAAGATCCCCCGTATAGCCTTAACAGACTGTTGGGGCAAGCGCTGTTAGCGAGCACCTATGAAGTCCGGCACTGTGGCACACGAGGGGGTGGGTGGCCAGCACCACGCCCCACTGCCTTTGTCGCCACAGTGGCGATGTTTTTACACACCGCACCAGGTACTCATTTGAGGCTGAGTCGACATAGGGGAGGCCCAGGACCGGTTTCAGATAATGGTCACCGGTGATGGCCGTGAGCGGGAATCCAACTCGGGTCACCGGGTTCGTAGTGCTATGCTACCGCTGCCCACCAACGCCACACCAGGTGCTCAGTCTCGTGTCTACAACCTGACCCAAGTTGGCAGTTCGGCTTAGACATCTGAGCAGTTGTCGTTTTGAACGCAAGCGATAGTGGCATTCGTCATTTTCGTTGTCATTTAAATTTCCGTAGATAATTGTATAGTGACGGCCGCTCTGTGTATGAATGTATTTATTGCCATTATAAGCTATTGATTTGTGCTGGACCAACCAACCAGACAGAATCATGGGCATGATCATGATGGATGTGTTTCCTTGGGAATACTTTTTTTGTAAGTAGAGAAATTTTTTTTTTTTAATATAAAGAAAATAACAACTAAGTTTGATTCTTCGCAACGGTCCTTCGACCCGCGTGGAGCACACGTGTAGAAGTGTGGCCAAGAAGCCGCCACGGCCAACAAGCCGCGGAAGAGGCCTTAATCCAGCAGTTGCTCGAAAAAAAAGTGCTGTAAATTATTCCTATTGATACCAATATCATAACAAAAATTATGGTTAGGTTCATGTTCATATTATTGTTACGACTGTTAACCTCGCGAAAAGCCTTACTGAATCTCATGACTATTTTTCAGGAGGGTCCTGCCAAGTGTTCACATTAACAAGGGGCGGGGGGGGTGTAGAGGGGCAATGATTGTTGTGTATATTGTATATCTCAGCTCAGTAATTCGCCGTGTAATTTTCTTCGCAAAATAAAAATTTGACTAACTTGTGACCGTGATGACACCGCCTGCACACAATTCGCCGACGCTCGCGAAAGGCGTCGTGGGATCATTGACGTCGTCCAGATTGCAAAGCGGACGTCGCGTAGCACTGCGCTACCGTGGTTATTGCCCCCCCCCCTCCTCCTGCCCGGCCCCGCAGTGATAACCAGGACGGCCGCTAGATTCTAAACCGCGAACCGCTGCAACGAGCCGCAATCAACGGTTCCCCCCCCCCTTCCCCGCCAATCAGCGCAGTACATCACCGACACTATCCGGACTATAAGACGCTCTGGAAAGTCGCATCCCAAACGTGTGCCTGATGTCAATAAAGTGATGTCAAATCCGGGTGACACACACACACACGCGCGCGCGCACCTACCGTATTACAAGATGTAACCCCACTCGCCCCCCCCCCCCCCGTAACATTTGGTTTAAGATACGCGGCGCGTGGAGCGGTGTGCAGTGCGTCATGACCCAGAGAATACGGTAAATGTCATCCGCTAGAGATCATTTGAAGCGTGTCGGTCACGTTACAACTCTTTAAAATGGGGGCCCCCCTCCATTTTAAGTCTCTAAAACGTAATATCCTTGCATACCAATGGGTGTGAATAAATGATAATCAGTAATTGGCTGGAATAATCTTTAATACACACACAGACACGCGCGCCTCCGAGTTTTGCGGTTTTTAGTATGCACTCATCAGAACAGTGTGAGTGACTGCTGCACAAACATTAGATTACACCGAGCGTTTATCGTTTACAGTCGGCTGCAGGCTTAATAAAGTCCTAAATAACGGGGTTGTTTTTAGGGTTAGATAACACAAATGTGTCGTTAAACTCGCCACCACCCGACACACATTTACGCGATCTCACCCAAAACAAAAAACAGTTATTATGGATAATATTGGTCGCGAAAGCCCACGTGCAAAACAAGAATAAATTCGGCCAGAGAGAGCCACGGCTGCTGCCAAGCAAGCGCGAGGCCGCGTCTCTCCCCCCGGGGCGGCTCTGTCGGGGTGTGGGAGGCGGGGCGGCTTTGGGCAGCACCGTGCGAACCACGTGGGGTGGCAGCAGCAGCAGCAGGCGGTCAGCCGCAGGCCTCCTCCTCCTCCTCGTCCCGCACGAGGGAGGTCAACTTGGCCCAGCGAGTTCCACGAACGGACGACTCCCCCACTCACTCTTCTCCACCCCCGACGGGGCCATTGGGAGCGGACAGCCCGATACATAAATCAGCAGCTCGGTCAACAAGTGAAGAAAAATAACGCTTACGTGTGAGATTATGCAAACGTGTGAGATTATGTAAGGCACTTCAGCATGCGTTTGTTTTTAAGGAAATGTTTAAACTCGAGGTATGGAAACCGACAGGTGGCTGTCCGGGGGACAAAAAAAAACCACCACGCGTTTGCCAATTTGCAGTTGGTTCTCGTTTGCTGTCAGGATCAGAATGTTGAGTTATCCTGCAGGAATCCGATGAGCTATGAAGCTCTTTTATACGTCACACATGTCCAGTGCGGGCGGGTCAGAAAGTTACCACAACAAACAATCCTCGGATAAATTCGGCCGATTTCCAATCGGGTGGGTAATTTTTGCGAAAAGCAACACGACTTTATGCTAAAGTATAATTCATATTGGATCATCTTTAGTTCAGTCGGAGAGTTGCTAACATGACAATTCCACGAAACCAGGCAGCAGCTGCATCTACTTTTATAATTGGCAACGCGGCACACGAAACCGAACAGCTCTTACCTGCAAGTATGCAACACTCATGTCGAGCCCATTTTGTCAGTCCACTGCTGGATGAAGGCCTTCTCCACTCCGTGTCAGTCGAGGGGAGTTGTTGTGACCATATTTCACCACGCTGGCCAGCATGGGTTTGTGAAAGTAGGGAGCATACACGTGAGAGCATAGAAATGTACTGTACAACAATTGGACTGTGTTGCCCTGCCCTCTGCTGCCCACCACATAGCTCTGTACACACACAGTTCTGGGCTGTGCGATACGTTCATGAAAAAAACGACTTTAAATGTACTCCCAGGCGCACCATCGTGGCAATTTAGGCAATTGGCATTCGACTTTAAAAACGCTAATTATAATCGTGTTTGAATACAGGGGTAAGCAATGAGTAGGGGTGGAAGGACTCGCCCCCCCCCCCCAACCTGCCCAATCGTCTACATTTTAAATCGTGAGATAAATGTATCCGTCTTGAAAACTCACGTCCATGAACTGGCCTTCAACCCCTCTACTTCTCGCCGTTAACCCTGCAGGTGATGCTCATCTCCTGTAGGTTCTGTTAATTTCCTGGCTTTCCATACACGGGGCGCATTGGTGGGATCTACGGATGAAATGCGCCAATTTACAAATGTAAATTATAATTATCATGAAAAAAGATCAAGTGGCTCAGTGTGGCCACCCGCAAAACCCTCCACTCTCCCCGTCGCCCGCGGTTCCCCTCCCCCCGTGTGGCAGCGTCAGTGCCTTCGCGTCGCCTCTTCCTCCAGATCCTCACCTTTCATGAAGCTTCGCTCTCGTTTCTCCACTCCTTTTCCATCCTTTTGCTCGTAGTTCCCATTCTTTCTCTCCTCCATCCCCTTTACCGTTCCCTTTAAATGTTTAATTAATTCTATATATCCACCATTGTACGACCTTTGGCATGGGTGTGCCACGGATAACAAGTTACGAGTCAGAAAAAATACCGGACAAAAGTGTATTGTATCGTTCTTCAACACCGTTTTCAACCGCGATGATTTTCGTGTTGTTGTTCACGATACGGTGAATAGCAGCGTCTCTCATGGCGGCCTGGGTGAGATGCCCTCACATCCACCACGCACGCGATTCCTCGCACGTACCGCGAGCTCAAGAATCAATGTCGATGGAGCAATACGTATACATATAGTGCTACTTCCTCCTGGTGTGAGTTTCAGATCAGTGGTACGAGCTGTGAAGGAGGATAATGGAAAGTGCCTTGCCGCGCAGACTATTCGTTATTTTCCCTGGACGTCGAGAATATGCTATGCCATGTCTCACCAGGATTAAACGGCACAGCAAAATACGGAGTAATACAATACGTCTCATCTGTACGGGATATAGCGTTGTCCCCTCGCACGCATGGGCTTTCTCCGGCTAGTCCGGTTACCTTAATTTAAAAAATATATAATGCCAGGACCCTCGTGAAAAAATCCCTTTGACTCAGTGTGGATCCCTCCAGTCTAAATAAAGATTCTAAACATTCTACTTTCCTGGGCAAATAAGTAAACATTATTGTTACTGATATGAGATGTCGCCTCTGCATCTGGTGCTGAAAAGGAAAATGGAATTTTATATACCGACAAAAGAAAGAAAAATCATGCCTATCATTTATTGTTATTTTTGTGACTGGGTGTGGGGTTGATTAATCCGGTTTTAGCCGACCGAGCTGTCCAATTACAGCAACGGGGGAATCCGAAAATTCCATTGGCGTTCGTGCACGTGTCACGAGACCGATGTGCCGCCACTCGTATTTACGACGCCAAATCGGGTTCGCGATGTCCTGCAGTCAGATGCCAACAACACGTGGGGCAACTGTCATCCCACGTTGAGAAAGAAGAGATTTGACGTCACACACAAAGACAAAGATCCCCCCCCATCCCCATATAGCCTGAACACAATTCTTGGGGCAAGTGCTGCTAGCGAGCACCTATGAAGGGTCGGCACAGCACACGAAGGGGTGGGTGGCCAGCACCACGCCCGGCCTCCTTTGCCTCCCGAGTGACAATATTTACACACCGAACCAGATACTTATTTGAGGCTGATTCAACCTAGGGGAGGCCCAGGACTCGTTGAGATAAGCGTCACTTGTGACCAATGTTGGCAGTGAGCCGGAATTGAATTCTGGTCGCCGGGGTCGTAGCACAAACAATTATATAATCACACATCTGAGATTAGCACAGCACGCAGCGCAGCGCACTAATCACCCTGCCACCGATCCCCATACACGCACACACGCGCTGGGCTGTGTAACAGCGAACGACTTCTCGGACATGTTGTCAACATGCCAGCGTCACGCTACGCTGCACGTGACGTGGCGCGCCGGTGGCATGATGGGATGATGTGACGCCTCGCATATATCGCATTCCATTCAGATCCATTTGCTCGTCGGCCGATTTGCGAGTTTACGTTCCGTGGCATTCGAGGGTCGCCCACGGGACGGACGACCCGTGATTTTGCTCCCACGTCCGCGGTCGTTGTCGTTACCTAACGTAGCCCCAAAAGGGGACCGTGTTTAAATATACACCATGGCATTTGAACCATGGAGATGCCTCGTCTCATTTTCCCCATCCATGAAGCGCCATGACCAAAGTCACCGCCCTCTGCACCCGATCTTGTCGGATGTTGCGAGCCATGCCGAGTGGCGCCTGGTAACTGCTCGGATGGGTAATCAACTCGAGGGCTTTCTGGGTGGCCAGATGGCAGTGTTGAAATTTGCACCCCCCCACCGCCCCCTCCTCGTATGCGTGGTGGGGTTTCTCCGCTCTCCCTGGTTTTTCCTGCCACGTGAAGCCAAACACGAGTGAATGGAATTGATTCTAGATTTGAAGTTTTCGTGACTGCAAGGATTCATGCTCTTAGTTTTTTTCGGTAAAGTCACGTGGGTAAAAAAAAATGAAATTAAAATTATTTGATTTTTATTAATTTTAATTTCATTTTTTTACCTACGTGACTTTGCCGAAAAAACTAAAGTATGAATGGAATTGCCCAAACATCACACTGCAGGAGACCCCCCCCCCCGCCACCCCTTGCTGAAAGCGTCTCAAGACTCAAGGGAAGCTTCGTCGATTTCATTCCTGGCCACGTATCTTGTCAGTGACGATTGATATCTGAAATCCCCCCACACCCACCCCTCCCTCATTCACCAACCTGCATTGACCAACAAGGTGAAGTATGGTCAACCAAACCCCCACGAGGGCCTTTTCCAACAGTGTTTGGACAAATAATCTGCACATTTTCTCGATATCTTTGGAGTACACTCTGTTCTTATTCCTACTCGCGCTGCAAAGCAGTTCTGTTCATTCTAGATTTGAAGCTTTCGTGACTGCAATGATTCATATTCTTAGGTGTTTTTTCCGGTAAAGTCACGTAGGTAAAAAAATTAAATTAATAAAAGTAAAATAAAAATAAAAATCACGACGTTTCGGAGGCAACACAAGCTTCCGTCTTCAGGTGGAACCGTCACAGCCAGAAACGTCGTGATTTTTATTTTTTATTTTACTTTTATTAATTTAAATTTTTTTACCTACGTGACTTTACCGAAAAAACCTAAGAATACAGTTCTGTTCATTTGATCGCGTTCCATCCAATTCGCATCCGGGTTATAGAAAATGTATTCCCTAATCCATTCATCGCGTTTTAGCCAATTCGCGTTCTGAAAACTGCACGCGTTCGAGGAGAGCCGACGTCATTATTATAGAGGCATTACATCTCGGGAGTCTCTGACTGACCTCTTACACTTCTTCTTGGTTCTTTCGGTAAAGTCACGTAGAAGGGAAGTAATAAAATAATAAAAATAACAGGTCCGTCAAGTAGACTCTGTCTACTTGACGGACCTGTTCTCCACCTGAGGACGGCTGCTTGTGTTGTGGCCGAAACGTCGTGAGAATTATTTTATTATGTGTTATTTTTATTATTTTATTACTTCCCTTCTACGTGACTTTACCGAAAGAACCAAGAAGATGAATCCCTGCAGTCACGAAAGCTTTAAATCGAAACTCTTACACTTCCTTTCAAGAGGGAGTCCTTCACAAAAATTGCATGCGCGTGACCAGTGCTGGGTGTTGAACTTATAGCTGGCAAGGGGAGTGTCCAAACTCGGGCAGGAGGGGAAGGGGGTCAGAAGGAAATCCACATGAGCAGCAATTTTTATAAAATAAATTACTGTTGGTTCCGCATTGGTTACTTCCTTGGGTTTTTTTTTATTGCTGTAATTATGAGCAATGTAGAACATTGTGTGCATTTTGGAGCCTGCAGTTAATACAAAAATAATTGTCAAAGGTCGGATTTTATTTTATTTTTACAATATAAAATACAATTGTAAATAGCTCGGAATGTTTATTGCCGTTGTCGTTGTTGCTAAACTTCAACTAGAATTGCGTGAAAGTAGATGGGAGTCATAACATGTGTGCAAGACTTGCATTTTAACAATGTTCTAAACGCAATGATTACATATTGTTTTCCCTTCCTCCAGAAAAGGTTATCACAGCATCGACAAGATTAGGTTATCTTAACCCAAATAAGATTATCTTAACCAAAATAACATTATCACAGCATCGAGCCCTTTGCAAACCGACGATTGCCCTCAATCGTTCTAGTTTACTTCTGTACACTCGAGTATCGTTATACATCGTGCAAACAAGTGGACATGAATGAAATCGTTGAGAGTTAAGTCCGTGTCACAGCACCGGGGGCAAGAAACATACAACTCACACTTCGCGTCATCACAGTTAAACATTGCTACATTGCGCTGCGGGGTTTGTTTGCTGGCTTGTTCGTGCAGTGTCACCACGCTGCATTGCGAAGCATGTGGACTAGGGAAGCCGCATACAAGCACACTTCTTATTCTTGGTTCTTTCGATAATGTCACGTAGAAGGGAGATAATAGAATAATAAAATACAATTCTCACGACGTTTTGGCCACAACGCAAGCTGCCGTCCCTCAGGTGAAGAAACAGGGCTGTCGGAAAGACAGCGTCCTAATGAACACTGCTAGGCTTGGCAGCGTATTTTTAAGCTGGGTCGGAGGAGGAGAGAGCCTTGACAAAGGAGTTTACATATCAAGGCGCTCTCCTCCTCATTAGGACGCTGTTTTTCCGACAGCCCTGTTCTTCACCTGAGGACGGCTGCTTACGTTGTGGCCGAAACGTCGTGAGAATTGTATTATTATATTATGTTTTATTATTATTTATCTTCTACGTGACTTTACCGAAAGAACCAAAAATATGAATCCCTGCAGTCACGAAAGCTTTAAATCGAAAAGCACAGTTCTGATACACGTAACACAACTCTTCTTACATTACATGGGGAGTGGGGGCCGGGGGAGGTGCAGAAACAAAGAATAACTTTTTTTCGGATATAAGCACACACACAGGGCTTAGTTTCTCGCTCGATATTTTCCAGAACGCTGCTACAAGCTGGCTTTTGAGTAAGAATCATTGGCACAAGGCACTATCCCTTAATCCTATGAATGGGTTCATGCGAATGTAGGGACACATTGGGGACGTGAGTGGAGATGCACTGCCGTGGCTGTCATTAAAGCCTGGACATCAGCGCAGCTGCACTAGCTCCCAAGGCTCTTGCAGTATCCCGCTTCTGATGCTGCTGCTGCTGCTGTGTGCGTTGCGTTGCATTGTGTTGTGCCGTGTAGGGTCCAGGCGTGTAACGATTCCCGTACCTCCGATTAGCACGATTGGTTATGTGCGGCGCGAAAGACGTTTTACATATATACATACATTCAATGCAACAATAGATTGATTTTTTTAAACATTGTGATCATCAATGGTAACGCATTTAGTGGATTGCATGGGACATGTGACTGATTGATCGATGGAACTTATTTTTTCCAAGTAAGAACCCAGCGGGGATTGGAGCGGTGGCATAGTGGTTAGCGCACAGCATTATTAATTCCTGGCCATGGCTAACATCGATGAGTGATCATCCGAACCGGTCCCACGTAACCCTTCACCAACCCACACTTGACCAGCGTGAAGTATGATCAACCCCCCCCCCCCCCCCCCCACGAATGACACAATCTGGGAAGGCCTTCATCTAGCAGTTACAAACCCAGCAAGACTTCAAGTATTTTTTTGTGTTGTTGTTGCAAGGGCGACCCATGCGTGCCATAGCAAGTATATCAATCGACTAACCCAAATTCTTGCGCACGTAATACTTCCCATACCGAGTGATTACGAGCCGACGTTGGTCGACAAATTGGTACACTCCCAGGCAGATTGTACGGCGCTACGATGATCAGAGTCGAAAGTGATGGAGCGTGGCAAAGCAACACACAGCGATACCAAGCCCTATTGCAAAACACACATGCAGCCCACAGCACCCCCTCCATCCACCATAACTCAACCCAGACCGCCTTAGTTTATCAATCTGCAATTTCCGGAACGCTGCAAGGATACCATGACAATAGGGGTTATCGGCGTAAGGCACTACTACCAGGAGCAGAAGGTACGCATATCCTTAAGAACCCTATATTATCGTACTAAATATTCCTACAATTCTACAAACAGGACAAACTGAAGCGAGATGGATGTGGCGTGACCAAATCAAACAGCGTACCGTTCCGGCCGACGTCAAACACTGGCTCGTTCCCCCTAACACTAAATCCCGAGTCCCATCTCTCTCGCCTTGACCCCCAGCTCCATTGCCCCAATGTTCACGTGGTCCTTCCACGAATTGCAGGCCAACGTACGGCCACGTGTAGAGAGCACGGTGGCTCACGGGTTCCCCTTTGTGCTCGTTCTTCATTCCCCGGCGTGTCCAGCCGCTCCTCACGGATCGCAGAGTCTCTCCTGTTGACGCTTCATGATAGCGGCCAGCTCCGACTCCTTCTCCTGTCGTTTGTACACAGCAAGACAAAGACCCCCCGTAAAGCCTTAACACACTGCTTTGGGCAAGTGCTGTTGTTGACGAGTAGCACCCGTGAAGGCCGGCACGGCACACGAGTGAGTGGGTGGCCAGCACCACGCCCGGCCGCCTTTGTCTCCCCCATCGGCTATTGTTTACACACCGCACACTGGGTATTCATTTGAGGCTGAGTCGACCTAGAGGAGGCGCGGACCAGTTCAAATAATCGTCACTGGTGTTCGATGACCGCCATGCTCCTTGCGTAGCGAGCTAACTGCTACGCCACCGCTCCAAAGACAAAGATCCCCCGTGTAGCCTTAACAGACTGTTGGGGCAAGTGCTGTTAGCGAGCACCTATGAAGGCCGGCACGGCACACGAGGGGGTGGGTGGCCAACACCACGCCCGGCCGCCTTAGTCTCCCCAGTGGTGATGTGTACACACCACACCAGGTACTCATTTGAGGCTGAGTCGACCTAGCGGAGGCCCGGTTCAGATAAACCTCGCTGATGTTGGCCGTGAGTGGGAATCGAACCCGGGTCTCCAGGTTCGCAGCGTAGCGCGCTAACCACTGCACTACCGCTCCCCACCGCTCCACGCACGTACGCACACACAAGGAGTACAGGCGCACTCGCGCAAACACATTCCAAGAACGTGAGCTCATCGTCATGAACTGTCTGGGGCAAAGAGCTACGTCAATGTTGGTAATGCACCGCTAGTGGGCTGTGTAGCCAATTGCCACGGCTGGCCCTCCTTTGTCTCTCCACTGCTGATATTGACACACGCGCACCAACACATTCCAAAATGTCAGATCAACCTAATCATCTGTTGGGGCATATAGAGTTAAATCTAGACTTGAAGTTTTCGTGACTGCAGGGATCCTTACTCTTTGGTTCTTTCGGTAAAGTCACGTAGGTATAAAATAAAATAAATTAAATCACGACGTTTCAATTTCAACACAAGCAATCATCATCAGGTGGGAAAACCACAGCAATAATTGTATTTTTTCAAAGAGCATATAGAGTTACTTTAAGGGTTGGTACTGCGCCTCTAGCGTGTGTATGTATGCTGAACTCCTTTCACACCCAGCCACCACTGATACAATAAACAAATCTTTGCAGAAGATTAACATTTTGTTGGGCTGATTCGACACAGGGTAGAGTCAGGCCATGTTTTGACATTTGTGGCATGGAAAGAAAGATTTCTCCATTGTAGCCATATAGACTGTCGGAGCAAGTGCAGTTAGCGAGCATCTGCTATTTGGACCGACACAAGATATCACAGGGGATGGTGTAGCCAATGTTGTGCCTAGCCACGTTTGTCTCCCCGGTTCTGATGTTTTACACAATGTAACAAATGCGATTTTTTTAAAGACTGGGCCAGCCTAGAGAAGAACCAGAACAGGTTCTGATATCAGTGCCAACTCGCAGTCCCCATGGTCAGGAATCGAACCAACGTCACACAACACGGGGATCAGGGTCACTGCGTGAATCACTGAGCCACCGCTCCCCACACACGCGACGCTGATGATCCATGATGATGTTGAGAGTGATTATGATGATTACGATGATGGCGGTGCAATGAAAATAACGACGGACACAACGACCATTACAATGACGGCATTTACCGTAGCGGTGATGATGATGATGACGGCAGTGATAATGACCGTGACAATGATGACGATGATGATAACGATAATGATGATGGCGATAACTTTGACGGCAGTTGCAATCAATGATTGTGACATTGATCACGACGACGATGATGATGATGATGATAACGATAATGATGATGGCGAGAACACTGACGGCAATTACGATGATTGTGACAATGATGACGACGACGACGATGATAATAACGATGATGGCGATAACGTCGATGGCAGTTATAACAATGATGAGGACGATCCCAACAACAACGACGACGATGATGATGACAGCAATGGAGTAGGTGGAGAGAACCCAGCCACTCACGTTGAGCAGGGACTTCTGGATGGTGATCTGGCTGTAGACGCGCGAGGCGTCCCTGTAGCACACCATGCGTATCTCATCCTTGGTGAGCGCGAACAGCTGCTCACCCGACAGCACCCCGAGCGTCTCCACCGTGCTGCATACCAGAGGGGCGAGGGTGACGAGAGTGACAGGGTGAGCGGGTGAAGGGTGAGTGGGTGAGTGGGTGACAGGGTGAGTGGGTCATGGTGAGCGCGAACAGCTGCTCACCCGACAGCACCCCGAGCGTCTCCACCGTGCTGCATACCAGAGGGGCATGGGTGACGAGAGTGACAGGGTGAGTGGGTGAAGGGTGAGTGGGTCGGGGTGACAGGGTGAGTGGGTCATGGTGAGCGCGAACAGCTGCTCACCCGACAGCACCCCGAGCGTCTCCACCGTGCTGCACACCAGAGGGGCATGGGTGACGAGAGTGACAGGGTGAGTGGGTGAAGGGTGAGTGGGTCGGGGTGACAGGGTGAGTGGGTCATGGTGAGCGCGAACAGCTGCTCACCCGACAGCACCCCGAGCGTCTCCACCGTGCTGCATACCAGAGGGGCGAGGGTGACGAGAGTGACAGGGTGAGTGGGTGAAGGGTGAGTGGGTCGGGGTGACAGGGTGAGTGGGTCATGGTGAGCGCGAACAGCTGCTCACCCGACAGCACCCCTGAGCGTCTCCACCGTGCTGCATACCAGAGGGGCATGGGTGACGAGAGTGGCAGGGTGAGTGGGTGAGTGGGTGAAGGGTGAGCGGGTGAAGGGTGAGTGGGTGAGTGGGTCAGGGTGAGCGGGCCAGGATGAGCAGGTGAAGGGTGAGTGGGTGAAGGGTGAGTGGGTCAGGGTGAGCGGGTCAGGGTGAGCGGGTGAAGGGTGAGTGGGTCAGGGTGAGTGGGTCAGGGTGAGCGTGCGAGGGTGACGAGGGTGACAGGGTGAGCGGGCGAGGGTGACAGGGTGAGCGGGTGAAGGGAGAGAGGGTGAGGGTTGAAGGGTGAGCGGGTGACGGTGGAGGTGAGGGGTGATCACCAGGAGGTGGAGCGAGGTATTTAATAATTATGGTACAGGAGCGCCCCCTCGTGGCTGGCAGGGTCGCGTGCGTAAGAATCGACTGCATTTTTTTTAAATAGCCGACGACAAACACTGACATTAAACTATTTTATTTGATAAAAATTTTATCGTTATTTTACCATGTAAGGGCCACTGAGCTGTATAGCTCTTTTAGAGAAGTGACCTGGCCACAAGTGATAGCTCAACGAAGTGGCTTATCACGTAGAAATGTATAGCATCCAAATACTCGAAACGCACGTTTCTAAATGTGTGTGGGGGGGGGGGGGGAACCGGAGGACCCAGAGAAAAATCCACGCGACCACGGGGAGAGAGACACACAAACTCCAAATATAAAGCAGGAGTCAAGGGTCAGGATCGAACCCACGACCTCCTGCATACCAGGCGAGGGAGTTAACATCTCCTAGCCACCGTGATGATGATGATGATGAGAGAGACACGCAAACGCCAATTATACAGCAGGAGTCAGGGTCGGGATCTAACCCCCGACCTCCTGCATACCAGGCGAGGGAGTTAACGTCTCACCACCGTGGCGCCCCATTGACACAGCAGACAGAGTGAAACAGTGCGCACATCCGCATGAGCATCTGCAACACAGCAGCCCACGATGCGTGGTGGCCACGTGATGAGCACGTTCACCGCGGAGGTGGAGCGATGCAATCGGCTCAGACGGAGGCACTATATGGATGTTTACATGATGATAATGAGGGTAGGAATAACAGCAAGACGATGGGAAGCCTTCATCCAGCAGTGGATCGATGACGGCTAATGTTGATCATAACAAGGATAGGTTAGGGAGGCCTTCATCCAGCAGTGGAGTGACCACGGCCGGCGATGAGGGCGGGGGACAACTAAAAGACGACGACGTGTGGGAGAGAGGCCTTCATCCATCCCGCAGCAGCACGTCGCTGGTGGCCGTCCCGATGATCGACGGATCGTCGAGCGGGGCGGGGTGGACGGAGGGGTCAAGGCAGAGCCGGCCCAGCCACTAAGCGACCCTTGCAATTGCAAAGGGCCCCGTGGCCAGCAGAGGGCCCCCTAGAGTCACTGCTAGCTAGTGGGTGAAAAAAATCATACATCAAAGGGGCCTCCAACCAAATTTTGCTTAGGGCCCCCAAAGGTCTCGGGCCGGTTCTGGGTCAAGGTCACGGGTCGGGACCACTCACAGCTCGGAGAAGCCCTTGGCCTGGAGGAAGTTGTAGACGTCGCGCGGCCGCGACTCGTTGGTGATGCTCAGCTGCTGCTCGACGGTGCTGGGGCGCACGCGGGGCCGCACGGCGTTGGCGCTGCGCCCCAGGGTGAGACGCGACACCAGCTCGCTCTGCATGATCTCCATCTGCGAGTCTGAGGCATCGGACGTCGCCGTTAGGGGAACCTCCCCCAGTGCCCCAACCGCCCCCCCCGGATGCATGACAGCGACGTGCTCGGGTTGCACAAAAAATAAAACAACGTCGAAAAAAGTAAAAAATGAACTCTGCGATTGGCGCGATTGGCTGCGTACGGTGCGAAAGAAGTTCTACATGCACACAACACTCTGGCCTTGAAGCTAAAACGGGTATTGTAGGCAAACGTTTTGGCAATGGTCGTTTTTCGCAGGGCCATTGCCCAAAACGTCGCCCGTTCTATACTAACACTTTAAAGACCGCCCGCACACGCTGCGATTGATAGCTTGTGTTTATTTGTCAATGGTGCTCGTGCACAACTTCCAACGCAGCGGGAGCCGCATCACCGGAGAATGATCTGCTCCTATGATGATTCCGAATCTGGACCTCGTCACGGCCAGAAGGGACGATGGCCAACGATCAATAAGAAGAATAGAGGAGTGGCAGTCAATGGAACGGAACGCGTCCTACAGCACGTCCACCGCGGAGACTGGAGGGATGAAATCAGTTCTTGTGCAGGTGCTAGGTGGATTGTCATGTCGCAGGATCGTCAGCGGTGGTAGTGGCATGCGGATGCCTTCATCCAGCAGCGCGTTGACCATGGCTGATGATGAAGTGTTTATTTTAATCAACAATGACCCAGCTATTGCTGCTGATGCAGGTGACGAAGATAACGCTCCTTGCTCCAGTTCATGTTGCTACGCCTGCTGACGATGCCGCTGCTGCTCATTATCATGACGACGTCAGCGCCGCCGTGGAAAGGCAGAGAGGGTCGTGTGGAGGAGGAGAGTCGCGTCACGTAGAAATGGCAGCAATCGGCTCAACAAAATATCCCGACTTGAGAGCCGTGGTCATTACGAGCTCTCGTTCCGCTCTCGGTTTTTTTGTATTTTTAGCGCCAGCGTTAAAGTCTGCGACCATAAAATCCAAACAACTTCTCCATCAAGGGCGCGCGCCTATCTATTTTTAACTCTCGCCGTGTCTCTGAAAGCAGAGATGGAAATTTGCGTACCGTCACCGAGCCTCCACTAAACTTTGCGTTTTATTGTCTGAATTTGCATTTGAACTCCAGGGCACTGGTAAATCGCAACGCGAGCCCTGGTCCTCCGGTATTTTCCACGCGTCCGCATTACTTAGAAGCTCAGTATTGTTTTTTATTGCCCCTACCCTCAGGCCCCGCAATAAAATCACGCCGGACGTGGGGAACCCCCGGCTCGAACCGACTTCGGAAGCGACAGGCGAGCGCTGGCGCGTTTCACAGCGCGCACAGCGAGCGGGCGCGCTGTCGTAAAGGTCGCGAGTTCAAATCCATAATCCTGCCGGGGGTAGATATATAATTAAAAAGTGCCACTTCGTGGGGGAAAAATCAAACAGTGGTTGTTGTATGGCAGTGGTTCTCAGAGCGTGGCCCCCGGTAACACCGCTGGTCTGCTGACACTCCTCCAGGTGCTCCGCGGGGCTGTGATGCAAACGCCGGTTGATCCGGACAATCATATTTCGGACATTAATTAATATTTTACACTTGATATACATTTTTTTTAACTAAGTTTAACTACCCTGACTAAACTACCCCTAACCCGAACATCTAAATGTATCTCCCCCCCCCCCCCATAAAAAATATTATAGCTGCGCAAACAAAAAAATACGGTCATGTGAGTTCTTTAGTACGACTGGTATTTAGAGAGTTGAGTGAATGCGTTTTGTCAGCAGGGGTGGAGGTGGAGGGGTGGCTGTGTGGGCCTTGGCAATGTTGGCATCGACCGAGCGGTCGCTGGGCCACACGACGAGCGAGAGGCCACTGCTCCAGACGTTGCTGCTCTGGCCTCCACCAGCCCGCCACTCAGTGGAGGCGGCCATTCCAAAAGCAGTGGACCCAGCAAGTGCTGCCAGGGCTGGGCCTCTGCCTTTCACCATTTAAGTACCACTCTGTGGGGAAGTCAACGGCGGCTGCCCTGTGGATAGGGCTTGCCGCCGCTGGAGGGACGCGCGAGTTCCACCACTGGCTCAGACCACTCGATGCTCACCACCGGGGTGGCCGGCAGGGCTCACCAGGTGAGGAGGGAGAACGTAGCGAACCGTCATCAATCAGCAGCACTGACCAAGATGCCTGTGGCGTACAGCCTTGCTTCTTTTCATATGAGGACTACAGTCAACCTGCTGTCTTCTTCTTGGTTCTTTCGGTAAAGTCACGTAGAAGGGAAATAATAAAATAATAAAAATAGAACATAATAAGAAAGAACCAAGAAGATGAATCCCTGCAGTCACGAAAGCGTTAAATCGAAATTTAACCTGCTGTCTGTTTAATGTTGAATGTTTCTGCCGCTCAGTTTGGTCATTTGCGCTCTGATCAATCTCGCCGTAATTTGCAGCCGAGCGGATTTGCGCTGCTGGGATTTTTATATTTAGCTTCGATTTAAAATGGATCAATGTTTGCAATATTTAGCATTACTCGTGTGCTACCAGTTATTTTACATTTTTGGTCTGATTTCTATTTACTTCATTGCTTGTACTTTGTTTTATTTGTTAGTCTTTTGTCATTGTGGTGAACCAGATCGCTCATCCTGGTCTCTTGAGTCCTCGTCCCGGCTAGACACCAAAATCAACTTGAAAGCCTGACCTCTTGAACTTCAGCCTGATGCACGGCGCGTTTAGACGAATCCGCTATCAATCTCCGACATCTATGACTTCATGTCTCTTGGGGGCGAGGTACTCACGTTCCTTCGGCGCTTGGTTGGCAGATGAGGAGGATGCGGCAGAGGTGGAGGAGGCGAGGGTGGAGGACTTCCCGTGGCCCTCGTGTTCCCGAAGGCCCACGCCGTTGGGGGTGGAAAGCGCTGGCGAGAAGGACGGTGGCGGTGGTGCTGGCGCTCGCGGGAATGAGTGCGGCATGAAGCCCCGCGACGGAGCAGGCGCCAGGCCCTGCGCAGCGACAGACACCGGCGTGACTAAAAAAATAAACAATGTTTTTGTTTGACCAGGTTAGGCCCAGAAGTGACCTGGCCACGTGCTTCTCTTTTCGCTGCTCAATAATGATCCAAAGCACGCGTCACGCTCAGTGGTTCTTTGTGGAACTTTTCAGCTTATGTTCCACGTTCTAATTTAATGTCTATGCTTCTGATCCATCCATCATAGCAGACCGTATATGCACCTGAAACTAAAAACTTAACTTTTTATTTTAACCAGGTAAGTAAGTTAATGAGTTAATGATGACGTCACCCTGCTGCTGCTCTATATAAGAACGGGAGACACAGGAGAGCCTCACAATTCTGGCGAATTGCCCGATGATGCTGATTGCAATTACCAGCGAAACGTCGTACTCAAATTGTAAATGTTGTTGCTTCAACACACCGGTGGGCTAAAGCAGTGAACTATTTGTCTTTGTCAACGTGACACATTTTTACTGATTGGCCGTGTCGGGTGGTGGAGGGTTACGACACATTTATAAATAAACGCGATCTAAACCCAAAAATCGTTGATTATGAAGTAAGGCCCGCTAGCTCTTTTCAATAGCGACCTGACCACAAATGAAAGCTCAAAAAAGTGGCTTATCGTGTGGAATTTGACAGCAGCGAAATACTCTAAACGCGTGTTTCTTAATGTGGAGGGAGAAACCAGAGGAGCCGGAAACATGCAAACTCTAAATATACAGCAGGCGTCCTAGAGGGGATCGAACCCATGACTGTGTGTATACCAGGCAAGGTAGTTAACATGTCGCTATATAACGTCACGAAGCAATCCTTCTAGAGCAGCGTGCAGCTCCAGAGCTGCAGTTTTCCGACCCCTGGCTTAGGGAGCGAGCGAGGAAAGACAGAGAAGGGAGGGAGAGGGGGGGGGGGAAGGAGAGATGGACAGAAGCAAGACGGACGCAGAGAGAGAGGGGCGAGAGGCAGGGTAGCCACTTGCCATGGCGCTGGGTGCGTAGGTCGTGTGCAGCGGTGCCCGGGCTCCGTGCTGCACGTGGGGCAGCACGGGTTCGTACACCGTGGGCGCGCTGTAGTCGGAGGGCGGCAGCGAGGGCTGCCCAGGAGGAGCACCGCCAAACCCAAACGGCTGATGCTGCTGCTGCTGCTGCTGATGATGCTGCTGCTGATGATGCGGCCCCACGTCCATGCCGTTGGCGAACCCGGCCGGGTACATCGCCTGCGGTCGCACTACCTCGTTCCGCGAGGATGCATACCACGGCTGCTGGCGGGCGCCGTAGAAATCGGCGAAGTTGGCCGGCTCGTCGTGAGAGAGGTGGGCTCGCAGCTGCTGCTGCTGGTGCAGCTGCTGGTGCACCTGTTGGTGCAGCTGCTGGTGCTGCTGCACGTGCGGAAAGACCCCGAGCGGGCTGGGTGCGCCGCCCGGCGCCTGATCCAGCGGCAGCATGATGTTGGAGGGCACGTGGCCCAGCTCTCCACTCTGGTTGCGCACCTTCCACCACTGGCGGGTGTCGTTCAGCACCTGGGGGGAGGCGGTCGCGGACCGTCGCTCGTGAAGGTAAAAGTGCACGGACCGCGGCGCTGTGGAGGCGGCGAGGGGTTTGGTGGACCGCACGCGCTCGTGAAGCCGCCACGCTACTCGTGGGCAGGTCGAGCTAGCCGTCACCTGACTTGCCACGTAATGGCAGAGCAGCAAGTGGATTCATATCCATTTGTAGTTCATCCATACGGGGATTGAGCGTTAACACCCCCTGGCACGTGTGCGTTTTCTCCGGGCACTCCGATTTTTATTACCGCATGCGTAAACACTCATTAATGGAGTTGGCCAACCATAACGATAAAGGAACGCAGAGCTTGGACAATTGTCCTCTGCATCATTCTCTCTCAAAAATTGAACAAAATCCGCGCGTCCGGTCCATGGTGACAGACACCGCACTCCCGAGTCAACCGTTCAACAAGACCAAATGAGAGGCAGCACCGACCTCCAGGATGTCGTCCTTGTCCACCGAGATCTCGTTCTTGTTGCGTGCAGTGAACTTGTACGAAGCCCTGGCCATCCTCTTGCTGTGAGCATCGTCATCTCTACGGGGACACAAAGACAAAAATCCCCCCCGCATAGCCTTCACAGACTGTTGGGGCTATTGCTGTTAAACGAGCACTTATGAAGGTCGGCACGGCACACGAGGGGGTAGATGGCCAGCACCACGCCTTGCCGACTTTGTCTCCCCAGTGGCGATGTTTACATATCGCAGCAGGTACTCATTTGAAGGCTGAGTCGACCTAGGGGAAGCCCAGGACCAGTTCAGATAATCGTCACCAGGGGTTGGCCGTGAGCGGGAATCGAACTCAGGTTGCCGGGATCATAGTGCAGTGCACTAACCGCCACACTACCGCTCGCCACACACACACAAACACAGACACTTTCAGACACTGCTCCCTGGAGAGATATACGATTCCGTGCTGGTAATCGTCGACCACGCAGGACTTGCAATCCACAGGTGGCTGGTTCGATTCAGTTGGGACGAAAGTTTCTTAAATCCCCGGCGTGCTGCCTCTGTCCACCCAGTGGTGCATCCAGAGCCGGCCCTAGACCTTTGGGGGCCCTAAGCAAAATTTGGTTGGAGGCCCCTTTGATGTATGATTTTTTTCACCCACTAGCCAGCAGTGACTCTAGGGGGCCCTCTGCTGGCCACGGGGCCCTTTGCAATTGCAAGGGTCGCTTAGTGGCTGGGCCGGCTCTGGGTGCATCCCTAGCGTTTGGCATTGCTGCTGCGTTGGGGTTCTTGGCTTTATTGGTACTGTTGCTGCTTTGTTGTAGCTTCCTCCCCCCCTCCCCACGCATCCCCAGCTCTCTCAGCCTCCCACGTCCAGCCCCGCCCACTTCCCCCCGTCCAGGTTCACGTTTCCCTCTCCTAGCGTCCATGCAACGCTTCCCTCCCCCTACCCCCCTCCCCCTACCCCCCTCCCTTGCTCCTCCCCCCCCTCTCTTACCTATACAACCTCTTACCGCGGCATCTCTCTGCCACTTCAGCAAAAAATGTTCTCGCTGTGGTTTTCCCACCTGAAGATGATTTGCTTGTGTTGCGATCGAAACGTCGTGATTTAATTTATTTTATTTTATACCTACGTGACTTTAGCGAAACAACCAAAGAGTATGGGTCCGACGATCGCTCGATCGTGTGTGGTGGGGTAAAGTTTGGGTACTTCCAGCTCATCCAAGATATCCAACCAGCGTAGAGGAGTAGGCCAAAACATCCCACGAGAGGGGCTGTCTAGAGCTCCCCCTAGTGGAGGCTCTTCTGCCAGCAGTCGCGTGAGCAAGACATTGTAGACATGCTCCTGGACTGACGCAAGTCAGACCATTGTAAAATAAAATATACACACAGAATATACTCCTGCTGAAGATTTATTGCCCAGGAACAAATATCCGGCATTTCCAAACAGAAGTAATATTTGGGAATATTGGTTCCCAAAATGCATGCATTAGTTTGTGACTGTGGGAATCTTTGTTATTTACAATGTGTGTCGTCTCTCTGCATCATATGTTAACGTTGCATTGAGGCCACTGGTCCAAACAAAACTTGCCCAGACGAGAGACAATGCAAACGGGAGGGTACAAACGAGACAGACAATAAGATGATCGTGGCCAAGTGCATCGAATCGTTTGGAGGGGGAATAATCGGCAACCGTGAAAACAACTCACCTGAAACCCGGAGGAGTCTCCACATTTTCACGTTCCTGGCGGGAGACAAACACACTCCGCGTCAATTTAACCCTCGCCCCACCGTGACAGCGGCCAGCTTGTGTCCCTTAAACGTGCAGACACACACGTCTCCAATAGGTCAATCAAAGGGACTGAAGCTCATTGGTCTCACAGGTGGCGCAGTCAGCGGTTGCTATTGATATGCCTCAGGTGGCTATGGGACTTTATCACAGGAAGCCACGGGCCCTCTCCGGCCCAGGGGCTGTAGGTTCTCGACCCCTGGCGTCGAGGAGAAGGGGCAATGCGGGACCATCGTGGGGGTGACGAAGGATGTGAGGGGTTGATGGAGGAATCTAGTGGCCGACGGGGCGATCAAAGGGATGACAAGAGAGATATTCAGCAGATGACGGAGGGATTGAGAGGGATGATGGAGAGATCGAGGCGACGATGGATGGATCGAGGGGATGACATAGGGATGGAGTGGATGACGGCAGGGTGGATTAAGCGGATGATGGACGGATCGAGTTGATGACGAAGGCAGCGAGGTGTTGACGAGGCGATGAAGGGTACCGTGATGGGGAGTTGGGTCTCCGGAGCGATCCTGCGCGGCGAGGAGGGCACGGGGCCGGCGTCGGGGGAGTCGTGCGCGTGGGCCATGGGAGGGACATTGAAACGCTCCGGCTCCCAGTTGGGGAAGCGTGGGATGTAGGACGGCAGGGGCTTGTCTGCCGGCCACTCTGCCCTGCATGGATCAACATCATCACCATTCAAGTCGTCGTCGTCGTCATCACCATCATCTATTCAATGTAATTATCATCACCAGGAGCGGCAGCAGCAGCAGCATCAGTGCTGCCATTATAATCACAACTGCCACCGAACCGAATCGCGTTTCGCTGGTGACTACAACCGGCTTCTTCAGCAGCCAATCGAAGCTGGCTGCAGTAATCGCCGGCGAAACGTCGTTCTCGAATTGTGAACGTCGTGGGTTTACTCTCCAACACAGCGGTGTGCTGAAGTAGTAACTAACTCGCACGTTTTGTTTACGTGACGAACCCCTTACTAATTGGCTGTGTCGGTTGGGTGGCGGGTTGAACGACGCGTTTATATCCGCGCGATCTAACCCTTACACAAAAATAACCTCTATTATGAGTACAGTACAACGGCGCTACACCTCTCTAAATAACGCCGAGCCGGTTGTGGCCACGTTCCGAGTTTCAGAGGTGAACGGGACACCACCCTGCAACTTGCAGACGTCTCGGAATGGGAAACGGTTCGTTGGCCGCGTCGGGTGGAGGAGGGGAGTACGAAACAACATTGTACATTTGGTGTTTGAACATATTAACACCTGTTTTATTGCCAGAAAGGGTCAAACCTATTCTTATCTTTCATAATTTTGGATACTGTCTAAAAGGTCCCATGATGTAGCTGCTCACCCTGAGCTACAAATGCCCTGATAGTGGCGTTGTCTTTGTAATGTTCGACTTTTGGCGTTCTTTGGCGTGACACTGGTGGTGAGACGAGGCCATAAAGAAGGCTGCGAGTCTCACCACCAGTTGTTAGACTAGAGAATGTCAAAAGTCGAACAGCACAAAGACAATGCAACTATTAGGGCATTTATAGCTCGGGGTGAGCAGCTACAAAATTGGACATTTTTTGCCACATACTGCCAAAAAATGTCCAATTTTGAGATTAATTATATCGATTCTGCCCATTCCATACCATAATAACATCAAAAATACCGGGTTAATCGTAATTTGCGATTGAATTACTGTGCCAATCCATTGCCGATCGATCCACGGATCGAGTAATGACTTGGCAGCCCCCACCCCCCACCCCTTCATTTTGATTGGCTAACATCAGCAGGTGCGGTGATTCCGTCGCAAGTCGCGCTGTCATCGTCACCACAGGTGCGCCTCTCACCTGGTGACGCTCCAGGCGTTGCCCAACGAGAGCCACAGCTTGCGCTGCTCGGGGTTGGGGCTCGTGTTGAGGATGTCGATGGCCTGGCGCGTGAGCAGAGGGCTTGCCACGGAGCGAACCAGATCCAGGCCGCCGCACGCGTGCAGAATCTGCGCTCGTGCCATCGGGAAAGGAGTTCGATTCGTCAACTGCGTTCGTTTGTAAGCGCGAACTGACCGTTCACATACCCATCAACCCCTTATCAGTGCCTACCTTGTTACAGACCAATTCAGACCTTATTGGTCATCCTGTGCCCTTACAAATCTCAACGTTCATCCTAGAAAGTCCCATCGCAAGGGAGAAACACAAGCAGACAAAACATTTGTTTTGCCCGTATTGAAATGGCTGTATGCCGTATGGACCTGAAAACTCAAATTCCCTGTACAGGATAACGGGTAATCCGTATGGGTTGACAGGTATGCGTTCAACAGTTTGCTTGTTCGTCACTGATATCTATATCTATGTGTACATTCATTCACTCATTTGTCTTAGCTGGTGTTTTAGCCCTGGTGCCATTCGCAACCGGCTGAGAGTGGCGGTTGCAAGTTGCGTCGTAAATATATGATGTAAAAAAATATATATACCTGTGACAAACCGGCACATGGCTAAGGAATAAAAATCAAGGCATAGAATTGACGCTCACACAAGCGACAGAGTGTCTTTCATTGGGTTTTCAATGTTATAATCCCGTAATGAGTAACACAGTCGCACACACAGATACAAAGATAAATGCACACAGACACAGACGCACAGGGACAAAGTCTGAGTTTTATACAGCCAGGAGGGCTGTTGACCGAGCCTCATGCCAGTGCGTTTTCTTCCCCTGCAGACCACGTGTCAATTGGTATAGCAATTGCCTGGTGATTCATGCCGCAGTAAACACATTAGCGGCGGGCCAAACAATGCATCGAACATTTGCGACTGACCGCGAGCTGCGTGCGATAACCGATGCCGCCGATGCTTGGCAATTAAAAGAAAAACGTGAAAAATAAAAATTGACGAGGTTAATCTGTAATGCGGCGGTTATTGCCCCATCACTCGCCGGCTTTTCTTTAACCAAAAAAATGTGGTGCCTGTTCTGTATCTCACGACGGATTGCCTATGCCTAATCTCAGACAAAACTGTGCAGAACAATGTTCCGGTAATAGTTTTGGCACGTCACGTCCATGTCAAGTTCATAGGAATATAGGGTACAATAATATGTATATGCACAGTTTTACAAGGATACTAATATAGGTTTGTTATGAACAGGCGAATTTATTGTGTGCCAAAGCAGCGAGTCCAGCAACGTCCTGGAATGTCGAGTAAGAACTTGGTTATTGCAATCGGGTGACGTGAATGCACAGAGAAATGGGGGAGGCTGGATTCATGGAAAAGTTGGGACTGGCATCTCCCCAGTTGGCTGAAAGTGGCTCTCGTCTCTTAATAACAATACGCATCCATTAGTCGATCAGTCCCGTGGGGCGGCACGGTTGTAAATAATAATGAGCACAGTGCTAACTAGAGAAAACCCTATTTTTTTTCAGAAGCTACCTAGCCACAAAAGATAGCTCAACGAAGCGGCTTATCATGTGGAAATGTATAGTGGCCAAATACTCTAAACGCGGTGACGTTGATTCTAAATGTGGAGGGAAAAAGCGGAAGACTTGGAGAAAAATCCACTGGACCACGGGGAGAATATGCAAACTCCAAATATACAGATGTCAGGGTCGGGCTCGAATCCACGACCTCCTGTATACCAGGCGAGGTAGTTAACATCTCGTGACCGTGGCAACGTAACCAACCATCGAGGCAACCGCCACAACCATAGCTACCCCGAAACTGCAACTCAGTAACGAGCTCACAATCACACGCACGTATGCACACAGGCACGCACACACGCACACATATACACACACCCACGCAGCCCCCCCTGCGTAGCCTCTAACAGACCATTGGAGCAAGTGCTGTTGACGAGCACCTACAAAGGACAGCATGGGCTCAAGGCGGTGGCGTGGTCAGTCAGCACCACGCACGGCCACCTTTGACTCCCCTTTGCCAGTGTTTACACACCGCAACAGGTACTCGTTTGAGGCTGAGTCGACCTACGGGGAGGCCCCAGGACCGGTTCAAATATCCGTCAATGATGTTGGCCTTGGGCGAGTGTCGAACTCAGGTCGTCAGGTTGGTAGCGCAGCGCGCTAACCGCTGCACGACCACGCACTCGTACGCGCACGCTCGCACGCAAGCGGCTTTACAGTATCCAAACATCATTTCCAAGGACTTTAGCCCGATGCTTTTCATGACTCACCATCTGCAGCGGTGGGAAGAGACTGGTTATCAGGTCCTCTGCGCTTGGATTATCAATGATTCCCTTCAGTCGAGCCTGCACGCACACATCATTCAGTCAGAGGTTTACCCGTCGTGATTTCAATCGGTGTAAATCACCCGCCGCGAGACGTACACATCAGAAATGTGATCGTTGTTGAAGTAAACGGAACGGAAGCTCGCAGCGCGTGGGGTGAAGCGTCGGACAAACGATGCCGCGGTCCACCTCGAATAACACGACCGAAGATCCTGTTGCAGCACAACAACCGCGCAAACCTACGTAGGTGTGATGCTCTAATGCTTGGGCTTACAATGTGAAACAAAATTAAGGAGCACGTGGTTCAGACATAATGTGCAGGTTATGTCCATCATCGTATTGAGCGTAAAAAAATATGGCCTGAAGCAGGACGAGGAAAGCACACCCGAGAGTACAACCAGTGCGGAGATGGAGCGTCGCCATTGGCTCGTGCGCAGCTGCTCGGCGGAACAATGCGTCGCGAGACCGTGAGAGATGGGAACGGCATTGGGCAGGCCTTCATCCAGCAGTGGGTAGATCATGGCTGATGATGATGATCACAATGATAATAATAATAATAGTTCAATTTGTAACGCGCACAAATTTGCAGATGTAGAGGCCGCTGTAGTGGACGCTGCTGATGATGAAAATATCTAAATGTGTGGTTTCAAAATAGCTTATTCATACATCCAGTAGTTTGAAACGGCAACCGGGTCAGAGGCAAGTAGGGGGTGCCGATTTTTGGGAAAATAAAAAAAACTGGGGGGGGGGGGAGGGGCCCGGCGGTTCACTCACCAGCAGGTTGAACCCGTACTTGAACTTCTGGAAAATATCAACAAAGTCTTCGTGCGGAGGGGGCTTGGAGCGCAGCGTCAGGATTCCGTCTGTCCCACACAAGGAGGGTAGAGTAGGGAGATGATTGTTGTGGATGGAGGGGGGAGGCGGGGAGGGGGCAGGAGGTTGATAGGAGGCAGCTGCGCCCAGGGCCAGTTACTGTTTGTCAGGCTGGATGGTGATCCCAGGGCTGTAATTTTTTTTTTCAAATTCAAGACTGTTTCACCACCGCCCGTGCCCAATGTCAAACAACTCACACTGCTTTAAACATTGAGTTATTGCAGTTATGGTTTTGAAAGGCGATTTTACGAGTTTGTAAAGCTAAATAAAAGTTAAAAACAAATAAAACTGGTTTTCATTTGAGCGTGCAGCCCGTGGCAATGCACACATTCATGCAATGGCTTTGATTACGAATAACACGATAGGATTTGACGTAGGATTATTGCAGTATTCCATTTCACCCATTTATAAAGCAGAGGATATACTTGGGAACTGCTCAAAATCGGAGGCTGTGGCCCTGCAACTATGGTCACCTACCTGTCCAGGTTTTGACCTGTCCAGGTTTTGACCTGTCCAATTTTTGACCTGTCCAGGTCCAGGTCAAAACCAGTCAGATAAATTACATCTGAAATCTGCGTTTCGGGTGGCAGGAATTGATAAGCACTGAGATCTGGCACGAGTTATTGCGCTGAAGCGGATCGCAGCATAGCTGCCCGGTTTCGATAACAGACCTCGTGCTGACTGAGACATCTGCTCGGCTTTCGTCCACAGTCGGTAGCTCCCTAAAGCGCCCGCGTAAATCGAACACTAGCCGGGTGCACCGCTCCGTCTCCTTTGAAGTGGCGCCGTCCCTTCAAGTTTGTCTCAGGGCACAATAAAGGGACGTAAAGCTGCCTGCCAGATGTAAAATAATTATGGTTGAAATATAAAACAAAGTGACGGTAAAATTGCACCGTAAATTAGTTTAGGAACCGCGGAGCACTGCCCCTTTGGCTGGTGTTCCAGGAAGTCTAAACTAGCTGAGCTGTGTTCTACTCACTTCCTGTCAATTATTGATTTTGTTAGTAAAAATCATCATCATTGTCATTAACGTCATGGTCATCGTTATCAACAATGGATCACCAATGCCGTCTTTGTTGTCGTCCTCACTGTCATCAGTATCAGCAGCAACCTTGTCATTTTCATCATTATTACGAACAACACTATCATCATCGTTGTTATCATCATCACTGTCATCATCATTATCATCGTGACCATCTCTACGCTCAACAATTGGCACCACCGCCAATGTGTATAGAGTCTCTGGGTGGTGGCGACAATAACGATGACGGTGATGACTATGGCTGCTGTCAGCGGTCTTTGCGCCTGACCTCCGTTTTTCTTCTTCTTGCTGCGCTTCTGCTTCTTGCGTTTGCCCAGCTCGTCGAACGCCTGCGCCGCCTTCTGCAGCTTCGCTACGAAGCCCTCGATCTCGTCGAAGAGGTGGTTCAGCATCTCCTACTCGATCGCCAGTGACATGCACCGCCGAGGGTAGAGGGGGCGGTGGGGGGACAGAGACGACGGATATCAACACAAAATCGTTTAAGTTAAAGGAGCAGCCTGGCAATTACTTTCTCACGCCAACCGCCAGCGAGAGGGCCTCCATTCGAGAAAGCTCCATGGAGAGTAGGACAGTGTTATTCATCGCAAGGCCCATGGGCCCTGGCGGCCAATGGTGGCGTTTAGTGCGGCCCCTGACGTGCAGCCTCCGACAATACACATCATCGTGCTGTCAATCCTCCAATGGTTTCAAATGTGTGGTGGCCCATACCCTGATGATGTCTTAATTAGTGAAGAACGCTGGGGTAGGAGGACTCCCCCCTCCTAAAAATTTGTGCTGAGGCTCCTCCCAGACATCAATATAAAACACTATCCTGGTGGGTTTTTTATCGCAATTGATTTGTCGTTACCGTATCTCGCTGCACACGTTTTTGCCTGAACTCCGGCACGTCCTCCAGCTCTTGTTCAAGATCCAGACTGTCCCTGTCTCCTGCGGGGATGGGGGAGAAGGCGGCGGCCACATTACTTCTGGATACAGCCACATTTGCAAATGTGATTTGTAACTTTGATCATTACCTGCTGTGTATCGATAGTTCAATGTTAACGTGCCATTTTATTCAGGGGCTACTTACTGCGTGGTGTTATCTTGGTGTGGTCTAGGAGTGTTTTGCTGTTGTTGTCTTGGCCAATTATGATAAATCGAACTCATATAACGAAATAATTCATTATTTATTCATATTTAGTGACTTGCTTAACATTTTCTCTATTTTTGCACTCCTATCATGGTGTTTGTATTGTTTGCTGTTGTAACTTGCTGAACTGCCCATGCTGGGACATCTATGAAAAAGAGCTTCATAGCTCATCGGATTCCTCCTCCAGGCTAAATAAAGATTCTGATTGTGATGGGGACCCAGGGCTGTTATAGAACTGCGGGGCCCCTCTTTTCATATGCCCAAAAAACAATCCTTACTGTACATTGATTTTCACCTTGGTTATTGTAGTTATGTTTTTTTACATGATAGACGAATTGTAAAGCTAAACCAAAGTTAAAATATCTATGGGACCTGTTTACCAGCATCAAATATGATGACAAATAAGAATAGGTTTTACCCTTTCTGGCAATATTAAATTTCATAATATTAATTTCAGCACATAGCCGGCGGCAATACACACAGTGATGCAATGAAACCACGTCGCACCTTGATCATTCGGGAACATGTTCCAGATGGCCACCTTGCTGCGCGAGTCCACCTGGGTGAGCGTGGGGGGCGGCCGGGGGGCTGGCTCACTCGTCATCATCGTCGGGCTGGGGGGAGCCTGCTTTTGGGACATTTCCGGTTCTCCGTGCGGCTCCCTGGGCCTGCGAGAGGAGCGAACGTGGGGTGAAGGGGGGAATGGGGGGGGGGGTACACGCCGACCGGCGAGCTCGCCACAGGAACTACAATGCGATGATTGAGACAGACGCAATTCGGATTTTGTACAGAGGGTTTAAAAATGTGGCTGTTATCTCAAGACGGGTTATAGAGACAGTGAGATATTGTTTGATAGAAGCACTCAGTCATGGGTCTTCTATATGTGTGTGAGTTCGTAGGTATATGGATCACTTTGTGAGTCTGTGGGTTCCTGTGTGGGTATATGGATCACTCTGTGAGTCTGTGGGTCCCTGTTTGGGTATATGGATCACTCTGTGAGTCTGTGGGTCCCTGTGTGAGTATATGGATCACTCTGTGAGTCTGTGGGTCCCTGTGTGAGTATATGGATAACTTTGTGAGTCTTTGGTTCCCTGTGTGAGTATATGGATCACTTTGTGAGTCTGTGGGTCCCTGTGTGAGAATATGGATCACTCTGTGAGTCTGTGTGTCCCTGTGTGAGTATATGGATCATTTTGTGAGTCTGTGGGTTCCTGTGTGAGTATATGGATCACTCTGTGAGTCTGTGGGTCCCTGTGTGAGTATATGGATCACTCTGTGAGTCTGTGGGTCCCTGTGTGAGTATACGGATCACTTTGTGAGTCTGTGGGTCCCTGTGTGAGTATATGGATCATTTTGTGAGTCTGTGGGTTCCTGTGTGAGTATATGGATCACTCTGTGAGTCTGTGGGTCCCTGTGTGAGTATATGGATCACTCTGTGAGTCTGTGGGTCCCTGTGTGAGTATATGGATAACTTTGTGAGTCTTTGGTTCCCTGTGTGAGTATATGGATCACTTTGTGAGTCTGTGGGTCCCTGTGTGAGTATATGCATACTCTGTGAGTCTGTGTGTCCCTGTGTGAGTATATGGATCACTCTGTGAGTCTGTGGGTCCCTGTGTGAGTATATGGATCACTCTGTGAGTCTGTGGGTGCATCACTCTGTGAGTCTGTGGGTCCCTGTGCGGATATACAAGTCTCTTTGTACGAATATGGATCTCTGTTAGTCTTTCGGTATTCATGTTAGTTTATAGGTCTTGGTGCAAGTTGATACAATGTGGACTTATACGAAGTCTAAATGCAGCTGTAGCTCAAAACCCTGTTCAAAATCTGCGGTCATATTATTTTTATTATTACATAGAGAGAGGCAGTCAGTCTCAATTTGGGTTACAAACTCACTTGTTCATTGGAGAGCGCGGGGAGCCAGACAACACGTGGTCCACGTGCTTCTGTATGGCCATGCCCTGGCAGGGGAACACACAGACGACCATTCGTTTCCTTCACAGCAGTTGTCTAAGCCATTTGAGTGTATGCTAGTCTGAAGAAATCCACCTAAACTGCTCCACCCATCGATCCGTGGGAAATCCTAGTTTTTCACGAGTAGTTACTCTCTGTTATCCATGCTCGCCCGCTGTTAAGGGGAGCTATCCAAATGTGGTGGCATAAAATTCTCAATCGTCTGCGTCTTTCAGTGGACGAGAGTCACGTGGAAAAGTTCTCCTGCAATGGATACAACTCGTCCCACTGCTTTCGGCTTGCACGCATAAGAGGAGCGACCCACAAGTGGCGGGAAGTTAATCAAATTATCCGCGTTCATCCACGGATAACCGTGAGTATAATAGGAGACAAATCCACCGATAGCCTATCGCATAGCGCTTTCCCTCCATCCCAAATCCCCGCCGTGGATAAGAGCAGTTTCACTCGACAACAAACACAACAACAACAATAATGTCAATATTTGTGCCGTCTAAATGCAACCGCAGCTCAAGACGCTTTACAGAGAAGCTGCATGAGGGTGGGAGGGGAGTTGCAGTGAGATGTTCTGAATAATTAATAATAAAAATCTAATTTATATCGTGCCAATTTGGGGCAACATCTCTAAACGCGGACACTAACAGTTGATTAAAAGATTACCATAGATTAAGCTCTGTAAGGCAATGTGAGATACTCTGAAATATTTCTAAAGTTTCAGACTTCCTGCCTTTAACTCGCGCTCGTCCCGTAGAGACGTATGGGTTGCTGGCTTCTCACCTGCACGCGCCCGCACTGGAACAGGTAGAGCTCGGCACACGGCTCTGAGGGATCGTGGCAGATGAGCGACAGAATGGGGTCTTCCGACGATATGCCGGCCATCGCCAGGCAGCGCTGGATCGTCTGGGTGGGGAAGTTCTCCAGTTCCTCCTGGATGTTTTTTTTTGTCACACAATCACGGGGGATCACGCGGTTGCCCATCGACGGAGGATACACAGGCAGTGACGAATGCGGTTGAAGTCTGAGAGAGAGCGCTTTTGGCGTTGGCTATCACTAGATTTGAAGCTTTCGTGACTGCAAGGATTCATATTCTTAGGTTTTTTCGGTAAATTCACGTAGCTAAAAAAAATAAATTAAAATTAATAAAAGTAAAATAAATGTTATTTTTTTACTTTTATTAATTTAGATTTTTTTTTTTACCTACGTGACTAAAACTTAAAATTAATAAAACTAAAATAAATATTTTATTTTTTATTTTACTTTAATACATTTTAATTTTATTTTTAACCTACGTGACTTTACCGGGAAAAACCTAAGAATATTGGCTATTACGCCCACCTAAGGCTCGTTTGGAGGAGGGCCTAAGGCCCGTTTGTTGTTCGTTAGGAGCAAGCATGAGATGTTTAAGGGCATTTCCACTAATTAGGTGACCTCACAGTCAAAATTTCAAAATTACCCTCGCGATGCTTACCGTGTAATTTTGAAGTTAATTACCTATAGATAGTACAACATGTGGCTTAATCGTGGGATAAGTCAGTGGTCTAACACACACACGAAGTGAAAACACCATCACCGTCCCAGCGTGGGTGAGTCAGTTACGCCCTGCCCTTTCACTTCCCTGACATGCCCTTATCTGCCATGCCCTTTTCTTCCCTGCACTACTGTTCTACCGCCCGCCCCGCCACCCCCGTGCCCTTTCCGTGCTCCGCGCTCACCTTGGTGTCCTGGTCAAGAAGTTGAATGCCCTCGGCCGCCACGCGGAGGCTCACGTCCTGTGACCACAGGTGCCCGGTGGCGGCCAGGCGCCGCATGCGCTGCACGCCCTCCTCCGGGGAGCGCACGCCCTCGGGGCCGCCCATGGGCAGCGACACCAGGTGCTGCCCATGTTGCCGGGCGGAGGGGGCAGCAGCGGGGGTGCGGGAGGGGGGGAGGAGGGAGAAGAGGGTATCGGGGAAGAAGGAAGGGAGGTAACCAATTAATTTAATACGATGAGGATGATGATAGCGCGAAGCTATCGCGAAGTCAGCTGTGTTTCACAGGCGGGGAGATTCTGTCGGTACGGAGTGATTTTAAATTCGGTAATTTGAAGGGATAAATTTTAAATTGGTCAAATTTTACGGAAATAACTTTGAAGCGGACTGCGTGCGGTGTTTATGGGTCATGCCCTGTGGCTCCATGGATTGCTGCATTGTAGGGCCACGACGGACAGCAAGGGTTTTTGGGGACACCATCTAGCGATGGATAGATCACGGCTGGCGACAACAAAGCATCCGTATATGCACACACACGAGAAGCAGTTAGTATAGTGGTTAGCACGCTGCGCTGCAAATACGGTGACCCGAGTTCCTTCCAGTAGTGGATAGACGACATACGATGAAGATGATGATGTAGATGCAGAGCAACAACGACGATTTCAGATGCAGGTGGTCAAGCCAGACAACAGCGGAGTGTATCGCTCTGATGCCTCCTTCGTATTTGTGGATCGGGCATGATGTTAATGACGACAGATATCATCCACCTCCTCTGGTTATACACATGTCAACACCATGGTTTATTACAGTGCCTTGAGATGCTGTCTTAGTTTAACATTTTATGGGCCATCATGACCAGGTTGAGGTCGATCTTGTTAAAGAGCCCGTGTGGGCTCCAGGTCTTATCTGATAAAAACGAACTCTCTTCCCCTCCCCTCCGATGCATACTTCTTCTTCTAAAACCCACTGCTGAGCACACACCCCGAAGGTCCAAAGCATCACGCGGCCAGCAACAAACGGCACCGTCGACGGCCGTAAAATAACAGCGTGAGTTCACGCGCGCGTTTCCACCGAGGAAGGATGTGCGTTTGTACGTTATGCAAATCCACATCGGATTGCGATTGCAAGTTCAACCCGGTGCAGTGGGGGGAAACGCGTGGCTTCAAAGTCGGTGGGCTTTTACCGTCCACTGTCATTCCCCTGCACCCCGAACCTCGTGCCAAGTGACGATGGCTCACCTCCACGCGGTACTCCGCCACCTCCGCCTGCGCGCCCGACCCACGGGAGTACTGCTTGCGCTGCTCTGTACACGCACAGTGGGGCACACACACAAAGACAAAGGTCCCCGTAGAGCATGAGCAGGTTGGTTGGGGCAAGTGCTGTTAAGCGAGCACCGATTAAGGCCGGTATGGCACACGACAGGATGGTTGGCCAGCACCGTGCCCCAGGGCGAAGGGTTACACACCGTACCAGGTACTCATTTGAGGCTGAGTCGACTGAGGGGAGGCCCAGGGCCGGTTCATTGGTGTTGGCCGTGAGCGGGAATGGAACTCAGGTCGTCGGGTCTGGAGCACACTGCGCTAGCCACTGGACAACCACTGCCCGATTAATAAAACGCACACGCACATAAATATGTACAAACACAGATACATATGAATAGAAATAGCTCTCTTGAATACATTCATTGTGACTAAATATATCTCAACAATTATGGGTGAGGAAAGAGCTCACCAAGATGATGAAAACACGACAGTTGGAAAAGCATCGTGGAGGTGACATCTTATCCATCGTTGGTTCAAGAGCTCTATGTAGCCTCTTACACACTTTTGGGGCGAGTTCTGTTAGCGAGCACCTATTAAGGCTGGCACGGTGCAAGGTCGTTTGGTGTGAACCAGCACTATGCCCGGCTGGACACGTACACTACCCGCATACGTTAGACACTCATTAAATGTAAACATGTAAACGATTTATTCGTTTTTTTTGTCATGCACAAAGATCGCCACAATGCACAAACACAAACAGGCGTGCAAATTAAGGAAAACGTATTTAACCATAGTCATAATGTCCAATAGATACTGCCAAAGCGTTTATTTTATGCTTATTTGTTTGATGCACGGATGATGGTCGCGTTTAGTCAGTTGCCCAGCTATTTAACTAAACTATAAACTAAACTATTTTTTGGCCCACTGAGCTGTAGATCTCTTTATCAGAAGCGACCTGGTCGCAAATGATAGCTCAACGAAGTGGCTTATCATCACGTGTAGATTTGTAGTGTTGTGGATTCAGGAGACGTTGGAGACGGTTCTTGGAGGCAACACTCTTTATTAAACCACCTCGCTCGGCAGTACAGTCCCAGAACACTCAGGGTCACTGTCCTTCTGTACCACTGTCTGGGGAGGTACTGCCTCTGGGCTAACTTGCCCTAACACAGGACTATTCTCAGGGTCCTCCGGCTATGAGTGCCTAGGGAGAGGCCATTCTAACTCGCCCTCGCCAGGGTGCGAGTTTTGACCACGGACCCGCTGGATCCGGCCCTTACAAGGACGTCGTGCCAGGGGTTCCCAGGGTCTCACCACTGAGCCGCACAGAGTCCCGGCCCTGACAAGGGCAGCGGGGCTAGGGGTCTCAGGGTCCTATCTAGCTGGTCGTCGGCTTCTGTCTTCGACTGGTCCCCAGCCTGGAGAGAGGTCCACCTTTAATCCACCTCCCAACCGAGGGGCGGGGTCCCGGGGGATCCTAGGACAGCCCCCACCCGTTGGGAGGGGCCCCGGGGGATCTCAGGACACCCACACAGCCCATTTACCCCCCTCCAGATTTATAGCAGACAAATACTCTAAACGCACGTTGAACGGCCGGAAACAACACGGGCATCATCATCATTGGTCATGATTTATCCACTGCTGGATGAAGGCCACGCCAAGCTGTCGCAAGCCCTATGAACGGTCTTGCGATGCAATAATCCATACAGCTCTTGCATTCAAGCTGATTTCACTGCTCCGTCTCCACAGGATCACGTCAAGTTGTTACACTCTCACCCTGATGCCTCCTGTATATTTGGAGTTTGCGTGTCTCTCTCCCTGTGTTCACGTGGATTTTTCTCCAGGTCCTCCAAGTTTTCCCTCCACATATGAAAACGCGCGTTTAGAGTTTTTGGCTGCTATGAATGTCCACCTGACAAGCCACTTTGTTTATCTATTATTTGTGGCCAGGTCGCTTCTGAAAAAGATCTATATAGCTCAGTGGGCCTTACCTGGTAAAATACAAAAAAAAGAGTTTAATCTTATCTCCCCTTGGAGGCCGCTGCTGTTGCTCAAGCGTGTTGAGGGCTATTTCTCTTGGTGGAACGGGACTGACTCACCGAAAAAGTGTAAGGTTCATCTCACTGCCATCACGCTTGGGCAAATACGCTCGCTTGCTCACTCACTCGCCCAATCGCTCTTGGGCAACAGTGACACTTTGCGCAACGGCGCTGCGGTGTCAGCTCAGGGCACGCTCACCCGCGTGTGTGTGGCACCGGGGTCTGTCCGATGACCTCCTGACAGCGGGCGTTCGACACTTCACGTGGCCTCAAAGTGAACATAGCCTGGCACAAGCACCGTGGTGACACCGGGGTCTGTCCGATGACCTCCTGACAGCGGACGTTCGACACTTCACATGGCCTCAAAGTGAACATAGCCTGGCACAAGCACCGTGGTGACACCGGGGTCTATCCGATGACCTCCTTCTTAATATCGGAAGGAAGAGCATTCCAGACGGCTGCAGATGTGCATCTGAAAGGGCGCGATGCCCTTGGTGGAAAATGGTGGATGTTGTTGTCATCATCGTCATTGTCGTCATCCTTGTCGTCGTCGTTGTTGTCGTCGTCGTGATTGTCGTTGTCGTCATTGTCGTAGTTTTTGTCATTGTTGTGGTCGTCGTTGTCGTCGTCATCGTTGTGCGTGTGTGTGTGCGCAAGCTCTCTTAGATGTCCTCACCGTAAAGCTCCCTGGCGCTCTTGGCCGGCGGTCCGCCCTCCGTGAGTCCAAGGCCACTGGCAGAGGGTCCAACAATGGCATTGATTAGTCGCAGCAATTCACAGGTTCAGCCAGATAATTAATCGATTAGGTACGAGTGGTGTTGACCACATCATCTCCGTGTTTTGGTGGGGGGTCGAGTGGTGGGGAGCGGCGGGGTAATCGGCCCTGGGGAGCGGTTCATATGTCAGTCGTAGCCGGGGCTATGGGTTCCACAGTGCAGTGCAGCGTGTGATAACCACTGCGCCAAACAGAATGTGAAGATGTGAAAAGAAGACAGCGGTTTCATGGGACCTCCTTTGCGAGTACCAAAATATGAGAATAGGTTTTCCCCTTTTTTTCTGGCAACAAAACAGGTTTTAAGATGTTATAACACCAAACTGAAACCTTTAACAAGGAATCATGTCTGCATTAACCACAATACTTGTGGTCAGAATGCAAACAAACAAAAAACATACTCTGATAATATATGCATTGTCTTTGAAACTGATTGGTCCACACCAGAGACAGCTTGCTTTGGAGCCTAGTCTCAAAAGGTGTTAAACCAGAGGACGCCAAAAGGCGTACAGCACAAATACAATGCACTATCAGAGCAATGAGAGCTCGGGGTGAGCAGCTACATAATGGGACCTCCTATGACTCCTTTATTATGCATTCTGACCACAAGTATTGTGGTTAATGCAGACATGATTCCTTGTGAAAGGTTTCATTCAGTTGGTGTTTTAACATCTTAACACCTGTTTTGTTGCCAGAAAAAAGGGGAAAACCTCTTCTCAAGACAGGGGTTGTAATAACGTATCGAGTCGTCGATTAAGCTCAAGCTTGTCGCGATATAATCTTTCACGATACTGACGATTATCACGATATATCAGCTGACGGTGGTGGCAGAGCACGAGAAGGAAAAGGGGCGTCAGCGATGCCAGTCTCTGTAACTGTGCTCAGCGATTGTGTTGCTGAAATGCTTTTAGTGTAGTTTCTGTTCTTTGCTGACCTTCCGGTACAAATAAAGATGATATAAAGTGCAGTTCACGAAACATAAACCTGCCATGAAAACCTGAAATCACTGTAACTTTCAATCTGTAAAGTTTATAACTTACAATGCAACCTGAGAAAAGGCTCTGAAGTCACCTCCAAAAATGCCAAAGTTACATGACCACCATCCCCGTCAATCACATTGGAACATCCGTGTGTTTTTTTGTTGCAAGACACGAAATTCTAGATTTGAAGTTTTTGTGACTGCAAGGGTCCATACTCTTTGGTAAAGTTTTACCTACGTGACTTTACCGAAAAAACCAAAGAGTAAAGACACGGAATGTATAGGTACAATCTATTTGGAACTACAATCATTGTCCCTTTGTATTATGTTGCAAAGACTGGCTTGCAAAATGAACTAAATCACAAACCTGCCTCCTCTTGGACAACGATTAGCACGCGGTTGCCTGCGTACGGTGCGAAAGAAGCTCGACATACTGTGAGATGTTGTGGGTTATCATTGTTTGTTTTCGAGGACACATCTCTCAGACGGGTCGATGTGTGCAGACAGGCGCAGGGTGTGAGATGCGATTGTCCTTACTTGGCACGTGGTGGGCCCATGGCCGCGTGCTCCGCCGTGGGTTGGACGTACTGCGGCTGCATGCCGTGATAGTTCATGCTCGCGGTGTTTTCCCTTGCCTCCGTCGTCACACGTTCAACCTACAACAGAAGGTCAGAGACGTGCGAGGGTTGGGAAGCTGTCAGGGAATCTTCCTGGCTAAGACTGCCCGGCTTGAACTCCGACTGCTGCGAATGTTCGGTGCGTTATGCATCATTAAGTCAGTGGATATGTTCAATCATTTGGTCCATCGGTCATTAACTCGATCCAGTTTGCTCGGTGAGCGAAATGCTAATTTTGTGTGCTGGTCGTGTTATTACACCGAGTGAATTCTGAAAGTGTGCCGAGTTAAACGCTTCTAATAAAATGTAACCAAAATTATTAATTAAAAAAAAACCTAAATATGGGTCAACTCCACCCTAGCAACATCATTTATTCATGACCCTTCAATCCATTGCTGCATGAAAGCCTCTCCCCATGGCAGGGTGGTTGTATGGTTTGTTTAACCATACCTCACCACACTGGTCAGTGCAGGATGGTGAGGAATGGGGTCAGGACCAGTTCAGAAATCATTAGCCACTGATGTTAGCCATGGCCGAGGATTTAGCTCAGAGAGCACGGTTCACTAACTCCCGTGCCAATGCACCACCAATATCGTTAACTTCGACCAGACCGCCCTGGAATGCGCCCAAGCTAATTGTATCTCAGATGCTAAGCAGCATTGAACCTGGTTATTATGAGGATGAGAGACTGCCTGGGAAAACCGGATGTTATAGGCTTGGCCTTTGAGGTGGCCAGGAGATGTCAGTGAAAATATTTATTCGTGAATCTATTTGTGTGGAGATTTACCCCTCACTGTTTTACCCCTCACTCTGTTTTCCTCCCACACAATTCAACAACTCTCACGCAGAATTTGGAAACCAGATCAAGGCAAAGGACTCTGTGGAGCCATGTGGGTTAAAGGGCATTATTATTAAAAGGATTGAAACCTGATCAATTATATGATGGTCGAAGAAGGGATACATTTACAAAGCAAGCGAGACATGGCCAGAGGAGAAGAGGGACGTTTTGGGGACCTTCCGAGAAAGCTTCACACTTATCTTTTCCTAATAACTTTTGAACAGTTTATGGGACACAGTAATATCAACCAAAACTACAAACACAAATGTTTGGCAATGAACAGAAACACACGGACAAAGCGTTGTAACCTTTGAGACAACCACAGTTTAGCCACACAATAAAATGACACCGACACGGGGAAATTCATGTTAACCGCTGCGATGTTTGCCTCCTGTACGAGAACCAACTCGGTGCTTGAAATTATATTGAATGTCTTCTTGGTTCTTTCGGTAAAGTCACGTAGAATGGAAATAATAAAATAATAAAAATAAAACATAGTAAAATAATTCTTACGATGTTTCGGCCACAACGCAAGCAGCCGTCCTCAGGTGAAGAACAGGTCTGTCAGACTCTGTCGTAAATAATAATAATAAAACATAAAATAATTCTCACGACGTTTCGGCCACAACGCAAGCAACGCAAGCAACGCAAGTAGCCGTCCTCAGGTGAAGAACAGGTCTGTCGAGACGACAGAGTCTGACAGACCTGTTCTTCACCTGAGGACGGCTGCTTGCGTTGTGGCCGAAACGTCGTGAGAATTATTTTATTATGTTGAATTTTTATTATTTAATTTTTTCCATTCTACGTGACTTTACCGAAAGAACCAAGAAGATGAATCCCTGCAGTCACGAAAGCTTTAAATCGTAATATATTGAATGTGTTCATCTATCTGTGAGATATGACCGCGTACGAACATTGATGCAATCTACACCCCCACACGTATAGTGACGTGTCTATAAGGGCAATATCCACGTGTGTGTGTGTGGTTTTTACGAGGCTGCTCAACTCCCAACCCAGTTTGTTTGCCATTCGTCATGCGGCTGGCAATACATTGTGTGCCCCATGGCACACGATTACAACTGTCGGCTGTGTAGAGAAAGAAAAGCCTCGATTTTAGAACCCGCGATCGTTCCACCGTAAGGGTGACGCGAAACAGGGTCGTCTCTAGGCTGGGGGGGGGGGGGGCCTGGGCCAAATCACAACCGACGTCTTCAAACTAAACCGTCACAGCCCCCGAAGCGCGGGGCCCGGGGCGATCGCCATGATTTGCCGTGCACCCTAGAGGACAGCTCTGGGAAGTTAATAGAGGGTGTATGACGTCTGTTTTGTATGTCTTCCCCCCCGCCTGCCCCACGCAATTGTGCCCCGAAATGCGCTATCGGTGTCATCGTGTTTTAAAACAAAGTATCCATCAGATCTCTTGCACAACAGCAGACGCTTCCTCTTGTAGAGGACAGCCCACACGTAAGCGGACATTGCAGACCTGCCTCTGAAATCAACTAAACCTTTGGCCCTTTCAGTCGAGGACAGCGCATTTCCCACCGACTCTGCCAATGAGAGTGACGTTGGACCCATGGCAGACAAACGAACATTTTTAATTCCCAGAGCTGGAATTTGGCCAAATTTAACTCAGAACAAAACATGTAATTTGCTGGCTTTTTTTGTTGATGTTGTTGTTGTACAGTCGTTGGTGACCGGCCTGAGACCATCAACTAGCTAGACTTGAGAAACTGGTCTCATCGCGAGGCAACGGCTGAAACCCAGATTCGGACCGAGGATCTTCTTCGGCAGTGCCAGCTCAGCTCTCTGACCGTTTGAGCTAGAATCTGTATTTATACTGGAGGAATCCGATGCGCTACAAATCTCTTGTTCACAGGCGTTCAGTGTTTTTCACAGATGCCCAGTAAAGCTACATCGTGCTATGCCTGGGGAACTTGTCTGACTACACTAGAGATTTAATTTTTCGATTTAAAGCTTTCGTGACTGCAGGGATTCATCTTCTTGGTTCTTTCGGTAAAGTCACGTAGAAGGGAAGTAATAAAATAATAAAAAATAAAACATCATAATTATTATGTTTTATTTTTACATAACAATTATTATGTTTTATTTTTATAATTGTATTACTTCCCTTCTACGTGATTTTACCGAAAAAACCAAGAAGATACACTAAAGATGCTTTCCGACACAAGGTGATGATGCACTACAAGCTGCACAGTTTCCGAATAGAAGTGTCTCCCAATTACACGACGCAGATAATCACAATGAAGTTGATAAAAAAAAACTTAACCAATAATATAGTCCCGATAAATCTTGAACAATCATTATATTTATATAGGATTATCGCTATATATGGTACAATAGTACTGCAAAAGGATTAGTGTGCATCGGCACTCGAGAGCCTATCCTCTGCTGGCAGTGCCTTACGCCGATTATAAACTCCAGGCCGGCGTAGCAGCGCTCCTGGAAAATATCGGGTGAGAAATGAAGTCCTGGATGTAAGGCACACCTTTTCGCGCGGTTGCAACTTACTCTGCTCATCTTCTTGGTTCTTTCGGTAAAGTCACGTAGAATGGAAATAATAAAATAATAAAAATAAAACATAATTAACCAATTTTATTTTTATTACTTTATTATTTCTATTCTACGCGACTTTACCGAAAGAACCAAGAAGATGAATCCCTGCAGTCACTTTAAATCGAAATTTACTCCGCTCAGTCGGTGTTGGTCCGCCGAGGTCGCGAGGGGTTTCTCTTCTCTCTTTGCTGTCGCTCAATGTACCCTGCGCTGCTCCTGCCCCACCGCAATGTGCACCGATGCCCCCCCCCCCCCCATATGTTGAGGGGGCGATAATTGGCACGTACAAAATAAATAAATATTGATTTGCCCGCTCTTGCTCTCAAGGGGCTTTGCCTATATCCTTCTTCTGTTGCGATGCACCACCCTTGAGAAGCAAGGCAGACCCCACCTGGTTTATTGTGTGTTGTTTTTTTTGTGTGTGCCTGTTTATTTTTCCCAGATGAAGTCTGCGCTTGGGCTTGAAGCCAGAGCTGTAGAGGTGCTGACTCAGTAACTTAGAGATGTGAGCCCGCTGGTCCGCATCGCGCGTGTTGATTAGCCGGGTAAACTTGCCAGCCGGCCTCTGTGAGGTCACGCACTCACCACCTGCGTGGGAAATTTTTGTTTTCTTACGCTGCGATATTTAACTTCGCGGTTATCGATGAAAAACCCCAAGCGCCGGATGCGTCATTGCCATCGCATGGGTTTTGTGGATTTACAATGACACATTGAACCTTCCGATTTACCCCATCTCTGCACTTTAATAGTCTTTATCAAGTTCGGTAACCTTTTGCCGCTGACTGGCTCGAGAGTACACAGCAACATTGGCGCAACGTTAATTGCTCATTTTGCGAACGACTTTACTGTGGCTATGCCGTTGATACGGCGCGCGGTGGGAGGGCCTCGACTTGAGGCGGGTTGGGGGGCTGTGCCGAGCAGTGCGGTGAAGTATGGTCAGATAACGCCAATAATAACAACCTCTATTTTGTGAAGCGCCTTTCGTAGTGAAGCATCTCAAAGCGCTGTACGTACAGAAGATAAAACTACACTTACAGGTATAGTTAACATCCACGCGAGATATCTGATAATAAGAAAATCTAAATTCCAATGAAATCAAGAACTATGATGAAAGCGAATAATAATGCCAGAGTAATCCACAAAGGACAACAAAATTGATTCTTAAATCTTAAGTTACAGGGAAAGCCTGTATAGATGTGTCAGTTTTTAAAGACGTGATTTTAAAAAAAGTGAAACAGACTCAGAATCCCTCATGGACCTAAACCACGGTCCCCAGCAGGGCATCCATGGGGGGGCCGTGGCAAACCCCACCACGTGGGCCCCCCGACGCCTTCAAAAGCATTAACATCTGACACTGTGATGGTGAAGCGCAGAGCCCCCCCCCCCCCAAAGCGCAGGGCCCCGGGCAGTCGCCCAGAGTCTCCGTGCACCCTAGGGACGGCACTGACCCCCAGCCACCAGCAGCTCTGGATCAAGCGGCCGTGGCGTTGTCTGGGCAGGCGAGGGAGTCGGGGAGTGGGGGGTAAGAATCGCCCGGGCACGAACTGTTGTGTGGAATCACTACACGCAACTTGTGACTACAAACCTTGTCGGAATGAGGAAGGAACATGTTAAAATTAAGCTTTGA